GCACAAAAACAGAGAAAATGCTCAGCAGCTTGGGACTGAAGGAAATGGGGAATGAAACCGCTGAGATTTGGATTGGGCCTCAGAGCCTGAAGTTCTCAACCTGTTTTTTAAAGCAAGTAGTAATAGAATTGCCAGGATTTTTCACCTTGTTATAATGCCACTAAAAAAAATTAATAAATCAACAAAACTCAAACTATGAAGAGAAATTCTCTCCCATCTAAACAGGACTTGAGCAAACAAAGTTTCTATCTATTAATTTCTTGTCGTATCTACCCACTTTGATTTAACAGAGAAAAAAAAAAGGAGAGAGAAAGCAGATCAGTTTTCCCCATTTCATTTTTGTTGATTGAAATTATTGAGATGTTTCATATATTATTTGTTCAAAGAGGTCCAACTTAGAAAGTGGAATGTTGAATATAAGGCTTTTTTACCAGCAATCTGGCACAGTTTACTGGCTCACATCTTTCTTATGATACCTAAAATGTCTCCGAGGCTTTTTGCCAATAAAATTCAAAGTTATTATTAACAAATATACTTATGCTATAAAACCTGATGTTGCATTACATGATACTTTTTTATTGAATGTTACAGGCTCTTCACTAAATTGATTTATACTGGCGGAAAACAGCAGCTGAGACAATCTAAGAGGAGAATATTTAGAACCAAGCATTCATGGGATTGCAAACAGTCGAGAGAGAAAGCTTTTATCACTGGGGATTTTCTGCAAGTTTGCCCAGGTTCAATGTTTGTAGAGTTTTCAGCAGCATGTGAGTCCCTGAAAGTTTAAATCCTCGATTCTCCGCTTGGTTTTATCACCCATTGGGGAATCACCTTAAACATGTATTTTCACAGAGGGGCATCATTTGAGAGTAGAAGCATATTAATGGAGGAGAAACAAAAATAATCATGCAAATCGAAAGTGTTCTGAAATGTAGCCTTTTCTTTGGCCTAATTAAACCTCCTTTACCTTATCTAAAACAAGCTTTCACCTGGAAATTATAAATATATTCCTATTTTCCCCACCCCCAGTATTTTCTTTGGCTTAAATATTCCATCTGCACATGGGGCTAAAAATTGTCAACCCAAAATCTAGTCTGAGCACAGAGCTGTAACTACTGCCAGTTTGAGTGAAGCACACATCCAAGTTTTGGGAATATGCTGTGTTTGCTTTGGCAAAGATACAGGGTAGAACGGTTTCCATTCCATCCGAACACAGTCAAATGGTTTTGAAATATTGCACAATAAAAGCCATTCATTATAACTGTCTCCTCTGTCTTCCAAAAACAAAACAAAACAAAAAAAGGACTGACCAGTTCCAAATCTGTGCAGGAGGGCAGGAAGTAGAAAGTCAAGAGGTCATTGGAAGTAACCCAAGACTAACACCAAGTTTTTCAGGTTTCAGTTAGGGAATATGTTCCATGCCTTCATTTCCATCACACACCTCCCCCTCACTCTCCAAAGGCCAGTTCAAGTAGTTAATTGCTCTGTTATGCACAATTTCCAAGTCTTAATTACAAAACTAATACATTAGGCTTCTTGTCTAAGTTTCAAAGACAAAGTTATGCAGTCCCGTATGGCCACTTGGCACAATTAAATCCTTTTCTGTCTTCGGCAGGAATGTGAATTTCACGCTCAGGAAGGAAGGACGGAGGCATTGGGACCTGGTATTCTTGGGCAACTGCTGGAAATCTTGACTGTACCTTCCTTCGCCTTCCCCCAACCACTGTGGATCTATCACTTTGCATGGCATCCCAGAATGGCGGTCCATTGGTGATGCTCTGGGGTGCAACAGGAAACCCAGAAGGCAGCTCCAAACAGGCATGTATAGGCTTAGTTAAAGCCACTCCCTTTGTTTCATACATTGGCAGACATCCTTGCCCTGCCTTCCACTTATTGACAAACTCAGATGTGGGGAATGAATGAACATTTTGTTTGCTGCGTGGAACTTTATAGGTGCACAAATCCTCCACAAAGGTAAATGAGCAAATAAAAATTGGTCTGAAGATCCAGGGAATACACATGGCTCTGGAAAAGTCCATCTGAATCCACTGTGGATTCATCCAACAAATTGATTATTGCTTAATAAACTAATTGTATATTAGCAAACGCTGGTCAAGGAACAACTGAATTCTTTGAATGAGCACTGATAAGCTGAATCCTAGAATACTAATGGAACTGGTATAAGAACCATCAAAACCGCTATTACCTTTGAGAAATCATGGAGGACAGGGGAAAGGGCCACATAACTGGAGAAGGGCAAATGTTATCCTTATCTTCAAGAAAGGAAGAAAGAAGACACTGAACTACAGAGCAGTCAGTCTGATATCAACGCCTGAATTCTGAAGAGAATTCTGAAGTCAGGTTGTAAGCACTTTGAAGACAATGCAATCATTTCTTGAAGCTAGCCTGGATTTATCCAGCACACGTCTTGCCAGACTGATCTGATTTCATTCTTTGATTGCTTGAGGACTGTGGGAATGCTATGGACATAATCTAGCTTGATTCCAGCAAAGCATTTGACGAAGTGGGACAACTTTCAGGAGGATCCATGGCCCAGGTGTTTAGGCAGAGTTGCAGGTGAGGACGACATCCGGAGCAAACTCCCATTTAATTCATGTAGTTATGCCAGTATTGTGAGTTAATTTAGAATACAAAATTACATATGGTCAGACTATGCAATTTTAAGCCAGGCCGGTAAAGAGCATAGCAGCTGCATAATTTGGCAAGGATGGAACTGGAGCTGTGGAAGAAGAAATGCTAGTTGTGTGCTTCACTGCACAGGATGGTCTCAAGGGCCCCTGGCAAGCAAGGACTTAAAATAACCTAGCTGCCCTACTGCAGTAAGAACTTGGTGTGTTTGGAGGGGTGATTACGAAAGGCACACAGTGTAACTGGCTGATCTTGCATCATGGACTGTTCTGCTCATGCACGCAGCTTGAATGCTCATCCATAGCACAAATAGTCACCCTTGCAACTTAAGTCCAGAAACATGGCAACCCGTATATGCCTTATATGACCTGAGCTGTAACAGCACAACCTTCTAAATGTTTCATACTTCAGCTCCCATCAGCCCGAGCCAGGAACGCCAGTAATTGCAGTGCAAAACGAATCCTGCAGCCCTCTTCTGCAGCAGCAGCAGCCACTGGGGTCACGTTTTTCAGTTTCAGATCATTCACCAGTGTTGAAGCGGATGAGCAACCTGGCCAAAGCATCCCTTCCAGACAAGGCAGTGCAGTCTTTCTGAGCCTTGGTAGCTGAGCTTTTACAGCTCTGTTCATATTTCTTCGAAAGACCTCGCCCTCTTTTTTAGCTGCAGGCCACCTCTGAGTGAGAGACACAAGCTCAACCTGTTAGCGAGAGTGCTTCACACACACAACCTAGAGATAATTCAGTGTAGGAGTATCAACATCACCAACCTTATCTTACCACAAGCAAGCATGTGTTCAAACGCACCATTTTTCAAGAGGCAGGCAGAGAGAGGTGACCTTGAAACATACGAGGGCAGCTAATGTATTAACAAGGTCGTGTGGTCACTAACTTGACTGTCAACAGAAAACAGTTACACAGCCACTCTTGTTTCCACATAATAAATGAATACAACTCCTGCATTAATTTTAACATATCTAGAATCATTTTGGCAGCATAAGACCAGCTAAAGGACAGCTATGAAAACATTCACAATGCCGGCCATTTCTGTGGGCTTGTTAGTTCCTGCAAAGAGCCAGATGGCCAAAGTGACCTTCAAGGAAGCTCTTAATGGCAAGATTTTTTTGAAGTTCTGATCATTGTTACAAAATTCTACAGCAGCCTGGGAAGTTATTTACTGAAGAGAGGAGTGATCATATGAGGAACACTTGTAAGGCCTGGTGAACGGGTCCAGCTCTTTGGTGGAACGGCCGAATTGAGACACCAGGCCCCGAGGTCCTCCCTCCCTTAATTTAGCTAAATCCCTTCTTACACACACACACAATCCTTCCATACTTTTTGAATTTGCTACAGAGCAATTAAGCAAGGAGTACATGAATTTAGTATATAACTGGAAGCAGGAATGGCTGGACAACTCCCAGCCATCATGATTTCATAAGAAGGATTGCTTGACACATTGTTCTTCCATACATACTTACTGAAGGGGCGGGGGAAAGCCCTTCTTTTAATGCAAATACATGGACTGGAAAGTACTTGGGGCAAAAAGAATCAACACACTGTGCTTCACACACACATCCATAGAGATCACTCCCACACAGGAAAAAATGTCAAGGGTGAAGCAGCCCTTTCGAACCGTTAGTCTAGAAGCTTCTCATGTTGTCCCTTCCTGGCCACTGTCCAGACTTTGCAAACGGGAGGCAGGTGGGCCCTGGCTCCTGATCCAAAGCAACTATTTGGTAACCGCTGGGCCCCTGAACTGCGCAGAAGCCACAAATATGCTTTTCTTCAGCCCTCAAAGGAACAGTGTTTCACGGAGGTGTGTGGTCATGGGATGAAAGTGTCCTGCTTTACATAGAGTTCAGAAGTGAGCAGCCCCTGGCTAATTCCTCTTGCATCTCCAGCACAGCGGTCCCCTTTCCACGTAAGTGGTCAATGAGTCTGTTTGCTGTTTGTACTTCAGATCTTCCATTTTGATTTAACTTTGCTCAGGTTACAGCTTTGGACAATTATAGGGACTGTAAGTGTGTGCTTGGGCATGCACACATGGACACACACTCCACAGGTCTGCTGTTAACAAATTCTGTATTATCCTTCGCTTACGCGAGCAAATGTGACCTTCACCTGCCTAAGCAACATATTGTGACCAACATGTGTGATTCTACACACACAAAGTATATCTGTTTACTAAGCATCTCCCTGCACAATTTCCTTGCTGCTTCTAAGTAAGAAACCAGTAAGAAAATTAACAGAATATAAAACTGAAATACACAAAAGTGGAGTGATTTAGGGTGCCGAACATTTCAGCTCATAAAGAATGGAATGCAAAACCATTTTAAAAAATGAAATGCATTTATTTCTCATCCCATGGTGCCAATAAAATGCTCTAGATAGCTTATAAAAATACTGAGACAATAAAGCTTCCATTTAGCACACACAATTTACATGTACAGAAATTACCACACACACACCCCACCCCCAAAAATCACTTCACACTGTCCTGAACTGGAAAACTTGAAACTGGGGCTGCAAAGATTGCTCTGGGGGCTTTAAAAAATAAGCAACTTACGCTGCATTTTAAAAGCAACATTAGTGAGTTTCTCTAGATGAACAAGTCCCTGGGCTGCTGCTTGAGACGGGGCTTCTATGCCTACCACAGCTGATTACTCACTTACAGAGGGGCATTTGATGCGGCATTTCTCCAGTGGAGCTTGAAAGAGGAGGTGGTCCCATGAGGCTAAAGTCAAGGAAAGGCAATGCGGTTTACAGAACGGTTCTATGTTCTACTGTATAAAGGTGACAAATTCAATGAATTGGGCTCAGACATTGCAATACTGGTACAAAGCAAAATACCTCATTACTTTGCCCCCGACATACTGAACTCTCTGAAGCAGAACCCCGGGCACCACTGCCACCGTTACTGGGAGGACAGTGCACTTGACTGGTGCAGAGGTAAGGATTTTGACTGGAGGTGGAAGAGACTAGGAGGGAGTGCAGATGAAGTTCCATGACACTGTGTAGGATTGTGCCAGAGCCCTCATCCTAAGGGAGTAAAAGAGAAGTTGCATCCTTTCTTTACATCCAAGGGTAACTCTGCCTCTACTTACTTTGCAGAGCAATCTTCCCAACCTGGTGCCTTCCACTACAATTTCTACAGCATTCCAAACTACTAGCATTCCAAGCATAGACCATGCTGACTGAGGCTGATAGGAGTAATTCAAGAAGTCTGCGGAGCACCAAGTTGGGGAAAGCTGTAATATAATATACATACTGTAACTTATGCTACTACAATTAACAGTGGGGACAAGATTGGGGTTCCAGTCTTTTATAACCATACCTGGCATGGAAATAAAACAGAAAACATTGTGGGAAAATATTGCAGTTATCACTGATTACACTTAATTTTCTCTTAAATAGAAAGACCAGTTCCTTCTGACCCTTTACCAAAAGAAGAGTCACTGTTTTTCATATAAACAATACAATGCATTATATGCAAAGGAACTGCCACTCCTGTCTCGGGACAGGCGTATCGTGGGAGGAGCTGGTGAAGTCTTCACAACAGAGTGAAGAATCCTTAAAATGCTGGAAGTTCTGTGCAAACCCTTGCTCATCTGAGCTCAGCAAACAATCTGAAACACGCTGCCATGTGGCTCCGATTTCTGAATAAAATTCCCCACCTAGAAATAACCTTGCATGGTATTGCTGGAAAACCTTTACAGGGCTCCTGCAGAGGCTTCTGTACACGATGCGGGAACAGGTGCTCGGACAGGTCGTTGTGACGACATAATGCGCAGCAATGCCGCACCAGTCTCACCCAGTATAACGGCTATATGACACATTAATTTCTTTCAAATCCCTCACCTGTTTCCTTGAGTGCTGTTTCAACCAATAAACTGATGGCAGGTTTTGCCATTGTGAAGCATCACTGCTTAGATCAGCCAGGGTACAGTTCCACCAAGGGCACAATTTTTAAACGCCCATCATGTCGGTGGAAAAGTATCTCCCACTCTAAGCAAAGGGCCCTCGAAAGGCTCGAGTTTCGCTGAATAAGGTTAAATGTGTCCAATCGAGGTAAAATTCATTTTCTTCTCACTAATAAGCCTTATTTTCAACAGAACTGAAGCAAAGACAAACTCAAATGGACTGGGGCCGAAGAGGGTGTTTTCTTAAAAACAAAGCAAAACATTTTCTGCATGACTGACACACAAGTGTTTTTCAGAAAAAATGTGACCTTAAAACAAGCAACTCCTTTGCAAATCAGGCCATACTGCCCTCTTCTGATACACATAGGATATAGTTCCTGACAGAACATTTTAGAAATTGTAGTTTGAAATGAGCTGTCAGCTCTTACGCTTTCAGTTAAGAAAGATATGTGATAAGCTAATTTAGCAGTGGACACTGCTTTAAAACTTCCCAAACGCAACAGAGAATAAAGTACAGTCAGCATTACATTTTGAAAAAGACATCACACATTTCAACAGTTAAATGATATGCAGAGCCCTGAGTTTTCTTTAAAGCTGCTGCAGGAATACCCAGGCAGTTATCTGGATGCAGGACAAATACATGCATACCCTACAATTTTATCCTGCAAAAACGCAATAACTTGTGTTTTTAGAATTCTGGACATAAGCAGTATTCCCAGTATTTGAAGGCTACAATGTTTCACCTTTTGAGAAGACCAAAATACAGCTTAGGGAGATGGGATGGGATTCTATTTCTGTAATACTTTGCCTAAAACAAGAGTAGCTTACAGCGTTTTCTTCATGTTAAATATGCAAACAGCATTATGCAACTTGCTGGCTACTATTTCCAACACTTCTCAGGGCTGGAATCCTACCTACACTATTACTTCAGAACATGTTCCATTAAACACAGTGGGACACAGTCTGACTGCCTTGGGTTGTGCTATAAATGTCATCAAGAAACTAGAGTGGCTTGGACTCCCTTGACATCTTTTCCTTACTATTACTTACTAGGAATGGCAGTTTTCTGGCAATGCTCAGAAATTAGGGCATTTCAGAAGCCAGCTAAGCTTCAGTGGGCAGGGCTTGCCAGTTCTGCACAAACACAAATCAAATGTTTGCATTACTTTCAAGCAGCACCTACTTCATTTCCATTCCTGTATTTCTTTTCTTTTGCATTCCTGTTTTTGTCTTTAGTCTACCCACTGCTTGCCTGAAGTTCTCTCTCCAAACACATAGTTTATGTAAGCACATGGATTCCCCACCCCCAACCTAAAAGCTATAGAGAATCATATATTAATGAAGTTTAACAATTGCAGCTTGCGAAGCTGAAGGGAAGCCCTTTAAGGTACCCCTTTCAATTGCCAATCTAAATTAAACCACGGGGTGATTTTCCAGGAACTTTCTTATTTCAGAATCCTTTTGATGGGCGTGATCGCTTTTGTACACAAGGCTTGCTCTTCTGTTCTTCCGCACATGCAAGCCCCTTTTATTTTCTTCAAGGCTCAAAGCAGACATGCTCTTCCTTTGCCTCCTTGATTTATAAGGGCCAATTATGTTTTCCTGCTCTTCCTTGGTTGCCAATAGCATCTGGACCCCATTTACACTCTTCTGATAAAGCAGCTCTGATTCCTGTGGACTAGAGGAAGACCTCCATTCCTGGGCTTTGCAGGCATAACCCAAGGGAGACTGGCTTACAGAATTATTCGCAGGTAGCTGGATCCAGGCAAGCCCCTCATTTCCTGCATCTTTAAGCCTCCTCGTGCTGCGTCTCACCCTTCTGGATACGCCCTCGAATGAGTCTTCTATGGAGCACTGCAAACTATTCAAGAGTTCAGAATCAGTGTCTGTTTGAGGCATAACAGGAAGTTCTTCCATATTACTTTCAAGAACACAGTTTCCAGGCATTTCAGACTGACAGCCCCCATCACTGGGAAGGTAGCAGGTGAGTCTTTGGCTCCTCCTTGGGAACCTTTTACAGCTTACACCAGCGCTTTCATTCCTTAGCTCCACTGCAGAATTAACTTTGAAGGAGGACTCTCCTTTAGAGTTGTTATTTTTACCAGATCTGTGCAGGTTTGGTAGGCTGGGAACCATCTGCACCTCAGTTTCACTTGAAGAATAGTCATTGCTTGGCAATTGCTCATTTTCATGTAAGGTGTTCTTCATTTTCGCAGGAGAGTTCTTTTCCGCTGAGTCCCAGAGAAGCATCTTTTTCACTTCATAGGCAGCATCCTCTTGAAGCTGTGAGGATGAGCTTGACGTGTCATCTTCCTGAAGAGGATCCAGGCTGGAATGCAGGCAGCTACCGCTCTCTTCACTCCTATGCAATATGTTGTTGCTTTCCACAGTTTCAGGTGTAGGTTTGGTATTCAGGACACCTGAGCTGGAATCATCTAAGAACAAGTTGCAATTGGAAAAGAAACCAAATTACTGGGTATTTGTTCAGAGAACTTCCCACTACTCTGTTATTAGACCTACTGAGCAAAAAAGTTTCCACATGCTTTAACACACAGCATCTTCCACAGACGACCAACACTGGTTGTTTTCCTAAATGTATGGAACAAGATGTGCACATCAATTTAACAGGCTGGATTTTTGATCTCCCATAAAAAATCTCTTCTTCCTTATTTGACTTTTCTTTCGAAAAATCCTGCTTTGCTTCTACCTTCTGTGATTACCCAGTTCTTCCTTAGTTGGTTTGATGCCACACAAGAGGGCCTGGGCAACCTCCAATCAGACTGAATGCTAAGGAAGACTTGGGATTCTTAGAAGCCAAATGTAAAAGCCCAGAAGAAATTTCTAAACTACATTAATATTGCCTAGGCGCAGTAAGATGGCACCTTGTTGATGCAAACAGACCAAGCTGTGTTGAAGCTTGTTGATGGAAACAGGCAATCATGCTTACAGTAGGGGATGCATATTAATTGCATCTACAATGTACTACTGCTTGTGGAAAAGAAAAAAAACAGACTGCAGAGTTACATACCCAGAATGGATGTTTGTGGTTGTGGTGTATTTTGATAAGATGACATAAAGGAGAGCTCTTCTGTCCTCTCTGAAATTGGACTCAAGAGAGGTTTCTTTGACGCTCGCTCTCGCTGCCCATAGAGTGCTTTTTGCTCCTTTTTCCTTCTTCCTCTCTTTCCAAAAGCCTTGTATTTGGCAGCCTAAAAATGTTTAAATGACATCATAAAACACCCTGTTAAGTAAGATTTACTTAATCTTGAGTCAAAGCAGTAAGGGCCTTTTGAAACACTCCCCTTTTCCTGTGGGGATAATCCGCCATTTTCACGGCTGTTTTAGGAAGAACTAGACAGAATACCATTCCCACTCCCATATAACAGAGGAAGGCTAGCTTTGCGTGTAAGTGTGATTTCTAAAAAGAGAAATGTGCACGTGCACTTGTTAATGTCACAGACACCACTCGATCAGCATCCATGACACTAGCACAGGCACCGTTTTTGTGGAAGTCACAGTAGCCAGGAAGGGCACTGGAATTCCCTGCCAATAGGCACTTGTTACTACCATTTTCCAAAAGTGACCACCCCGCCCTCTCCCAGCAATGAAAGCGGTTGCTATGGATTAGTGATGACTGCACAAATCTGAGGAAAACATGTCTAGGAAGGTTTGAAGTGTGGCTTTTAAGACTACCCAGTCCCTGGGAATTTCTTCAGCATAGCTTGTGTGCTGAGGATTTCTCTGTTGCAGAGAATTCTGAAGGGATGCCAAATTCATACAAGATCCTTTCATGATCTATCAGTTGCAGACTAGGAACTGAGATTCTTCCCTTAAATATACGCAGTACTACACTGCAGACTAGCTCTGCTGGGAAAGAATTATAATGGCAGGCAACTTGACATAAGGTATGCCTGCCACTGCCAGCTTTTTCTTCAAATGTTCCTAAGATGAACAGAAAATGCATTCCAAATTTAGGTCACATTCGGGGATAATAGTAATCCAGAATGTTCCTAAACCAATTATGCCCAGTGAGCCATCATAGTGGCACATAGTGGTTTGATTGCTCCTGCCGGGCGGCTCCTGTAAGTAGATGTGGCTAAACAAGCCAGGCACAATATAAGCAGGGCAACAAGCCACTCTGGCAACCCATAGCTTGTTCTAGAGGTCATTTCACCCCAAATAGGCTGCAGTGTTGTTGCAAGTATTTGGACGAGAACTCCATCTAGGGTGAATGGAGCAGATAAGCTGACTGCCAAAAGTTAATCAGATGAAGCAGCTAAACAAGACACTGAACACACCACAAAGGTTCGTGGTCAACACCATATGGTCACAAACCGGTGTATACGAAGTCAGTTGCTGCAATACCTGGATTTCAGCAAGGCCTTTGACAAAGTGCCCCATGATATCCTGGTGGAGAAACTGAGGAGTTTTGGGATACACCAAAGCACTGTCCGGTGGATTAGGGCATAGCTGACTGACCGAAAGCAGAAGGTAACCATTAGCGGGGAATCATCGGGATGGCGGCCAGTAACAAGTGGGGTCCCCCAGGGCTCTGTCCTGGGGCCGATCCTGTTCAATCTTTTCATTAATGACATGGAAGAAGGGGTGAACAGTCTGCTGATCAAATTCGCAGACGACACTAAAACTGGAGCAGTGGCCACAACTGAGGAGCAGGTACTCCAGCTCCAAAAGGATCTGGACAGACTATGGAAGTGGGCAGGAGACAACAGGATGGCGTTCAATGTGGAGAAGTGCAAGGTCTTGCACTGGGGCATAGGAATAGGTGTCATAAGTACAGGTTAGGTGACAAGTGGCTGGAGAGCAGCACTTGAGAAGGGACCTCGGAGTACTGGTTGACTGTAGGTTGAACATGAGTCAGCAGTGTGATGTGGTGGTCAAGAGGGCAAACGCCACCCTTGGTTGCATAGCCAGAAGTGTGGCTTCTAGATCAAGAGAGGTATTACTACCACTCTACATAACTCTAGTGCGCCCGCAACTGGAGTATTGTGCTCAGTTTTGGGCCCCCCATTACAGAAAGGATACAGCCAGGTTGGAGTCAGTGCAGCGCAGGGCCACAAGGTTGGTGGCCAGTTTGCAGGGGATGCCATATGAGGCGAGACTGAGGGAACTGGGTCTCTTCAGCCTGAAGAAGTGGAGACTCAGAGGGGATCTGTTGGCGACACACAGGTATGTGAGGGGATGTCACACGGAGGTGGGTAGAGACCTTTTCTCCCCTGCAGAGGAAGGCAGGACACGCTCCAACAGAGCAAAGCTCAGGGAGCCAAGGTTCCATTTGGATGCCAGGAAGCACTTCCTGACAGTCAGGACCGCGAGGGTGTGGAATGGGCTTCCACGAGAGGTCGTTGAGGCCCCATCGGTGTGGGTGTTCAAGGATAGGCTGGACGTCCACATGGTGGGCATGTCGTGAGCAGAGCCGGCTGGTGCCGGAGGTCAGACTAGATGGCCTGGGAGACCCCTTCTGACTTGCTCTGTTTCTATGTTTCTACCTGCTGTAAAGTTTCACCCACATTTTGAAAACACCGTATTACAATATTTTCATTTTAAATTGTCAGCTAGCTACAGTGCTCGCAGTAGTATAGCTCCCCAACTGAGAATATAATAGCTTTTGCTCAGTAATTTTCACATTAGAAAAGACAAGCACGGATGTTTTACTGTGGAGGGGGAAATGCGTGGTGCATCCATTGATTTAACACTGAACTAGGCAATGGAATGGCCACTGGACACACCACAAAGGTTCGTGGTCAACACCATATGGTCACAAACCGGTGTATATGAAGTCAGTTGCTGCAATATAAACAATGACTCACTGGTGTCTTTTTGGAAGGTTTTGCTGCTTCTTTGGCTTTCTGCAATCGGCCATATACCCGTTTGGAATTCTTAGCTCGCAGTTCAGTTGGTAGGCTAGAATCTTTGCCTTTGCTGACACTCTGTTAAGAAACAACTCAAAGTCATTATGCAAGACCAGAGACTAGTATAGTTCAAAAACATTGTTTTGTAAAAAGGAAAACGAAGCAAAGGATACAAAGAGGAATTGTTATACCAGATAATCTTAGGGAGCAATGCACCACAAAAGGAGGCAGATGCCTCCAAAGGTTTGGGATCTTTTGCTGGGGTTTAATGCACATGGCTAGAAAGAACAAGTCCTAGTGTTGCATTCACATAGACACATGCAGCACTTAGAAAGGGAAGGGAAGTTTGTCTGTCAGAAAAATATAGAGCACACACAAGCTTTCCATAAAGCAAATATTCCAGATGTCTTACGTTCCTTTATCACCAACTCTAAAAATAAAGTAGCCTGTACTAAATAGCTGAGGAACCCTCCTCACCCCACAAAAAAGGATTTTCCTAAATTGCATATCAGAACATTCACAGGAGAAAGAATCTAGCCAAAAATGTTCATAAACACACACAACTCCAGACACCTATCTACTGAAAATGTTAGCTACCGAGGAAGGTTAACCAATTGCTGAAACAACAAGAAACCCACCTTGCTTCTTGCAGAGGACCGAGTTGTTCTCACAGCCACAACCTGGAGGTCAGGAGAACTGCCTTTTGTTTCTAAGAAGGAGATAAAGACTGAGTTTGTAGCCAAAGCTCCGAACCTGTATTAAATCGTGTGTGACTACTGCTAGCTTGCACAGGGGACCATTCCAAAGTTTTTACAGGGAATTCACATTTCCAGAGCCCATGCAGGAATGCCTCTTTGTAGGTGTCTATGACATCTAGGAAATATTGTAAGATAATACACATCTAATCTTGACAAGTCATTGGTATTACCTTGTATTTCCCCATGACTTTTATTTTCAGCATTTATAGTCACACCAGGTACAATCTTAGGTTGATTTGGCACTGGGATAAAGAATTTGCCTCACTGCAACCCAGCAATTCAGAAGGCAAAGTATAACTAGGGTAAATAATAATTCTATATGAATAAAGAGATTGATTGATTGATTTCTGTTAAAATTTTCCAGGCTGTGGTCTTCTGCGCGGATCATGCCTTATCCTCTCACCTCTCTGAAAATGGGTAAATTCTCCAAATAAATAAAATAAATAAATCTTAACTCAGATTACACCAGTGAATTAACTACTTGCACCTTTAAAACAGAAGCTGTGCCCGGCACCAAACTGACAGCTGTGATGTGGAGAATGTTGCAAGCTCTTGGCCCTCACAACATCTGCAATATCAGTGCATGGAGACGCAGAAGCCAACCAAATTACATGTTTATTTTTACTTATTTAAAACTTTTGTATGCTGTCACCACATGCCTTGGCATCTCAGGATGGCTCACAATACATACAATTAAAAACAATAAAATGATCTTTATAAATAACAAATTCAATAAAAATTACATAAGAACAAAAAACCCAAAAACAAAAAGAGCGACTGTTCAACCATGAAATATTAGTTTTTAAAATAGGTTTTTCAAACCTTTTTAACCTGGTGCAGAAAAGAATATAAACTCGGCGCCAGGCGCACCTCTCGAGAGAACACATTCCATAATCTGGATGCCGCATAATATATATGCGCATTCTATAATATGACTGGATGCTGCACTGCCCCTCCTTAGAAAGCAGTTGACATTGGTTCTGGCAGTGATCACGTCATCCCACTCACCTGCATTTGCAGGTGCTAGTGGTCTATTGTGGGACCACGCCAGAAAAAGGCAGCTCCTACAGTGGTGACACTTAACGTATGCCTACAGGATGACAACACGTGTATTGTAAGAACACGAGCTAACTTCACCTTCCAGATCAGAGTTCACGGAATGTTCAGTAGTGGTCACAACCTCTGATGACTCTTGAAGGAGGTCCTATAGCAGGAAAGCGGTATCGCAAACATGTTAAAATAAAATGCAATTCCTGGGGCCCAAAATATCGCAGGAAAGGAGCTAAGCCACATTCTAACTTCAGAGTATAAATACATGAATGTGACATTCACTGGCACGGGAAAAAAATTAAGATGCACTGTCTTGTTTAAACATTATGCCAAGCTATAGTTTGTACAAAACATACTTTTGAATTCAGAAGAGAGTTTGTGGTTCTACGTCAGCCTTCCCCAGCCTGGTTCCTCCCAAAGGCATTGGACTACAATACCTGGAATTTCCCAGCCCAGCGCTAGGTTGGGGAAGGCCATCCTGAATGATCCAGAAAATCACGGTGCAATGCAATACCTGCATGCCTATTAGAAAGAAAGCCCTAAGTTCAGTGGGACTTACTCCTGGGTAAGCAGAATAGGATGGCAGCCTTGCAGTTTCTTCTCCATTTTCTCCGTGTCTGGTTAAGTTTGTTATATTTCCAAAGAGCTGGTACTCAGCTAGTGTATGAGCACTGACAGAATGCCAACCCCAGGTAGCAAAGCCCTGCTCCGAAAAGCTACTCCACGTGCTGCGCACGATACAAAGTCTTACCCAAGAAGGCTATGCAAGCTTCTCCGTGTGAAATCAACAGAAAGAAAATACTGCAGGGAACGACAGATATCCATAAGCCACAACCCGGTTCAGACATCATGAACGTTCTATAAACCCCGAGTAACTGTGAATGACTGGGAGTCTGTGACAACATTTCACACCTGGGAGAAAGGTCAAGTGCATACAGTGCCAAGACCCCAGAACAGTGTGAAGTCGACTTACACTGACATTGCTATGGTCGAAGTTTGGTTGGGAAAACGATTCCATGAGAGAAATTGCATTGGGAGATCTTGTCTCTCTTGATTCCAAGGGACTCAGTGGAGCTTTCTTTTGTCTGCATAATGGAGCTTCCACAGTTACGGACACATCCCAGTCTAGATCTTTGTTGCATGCATTCACCTCAGCGACCGGTCCAGTAAGTCCTTCTAGAATGTTATCTGCATGTAATAAAATTTTAAGTTATATTGACAGATTCTGAAATAGTTTCATGAACTAAATTTTACATTTTATGCCACGTATATACTGTCCAGTAGCAAAAATGCTCGCTGAGCAGCTTATGGACAAACATAAAAACATTATAAATACAAAAGACACCTAGAGACAAAAGCAGCATGCATACAAGAACAGGGCAGGTTGCTCACCTGCAACTGCTGTTCGTTATGTGGCCGTCCCTGCATTCACACACATGGGCTCTGTGACTGTGTGACGCCCACTGTTAAGATTCCAAAGCTGAGTTTTGGTGGAAACTCTTCACCCACCAGTGTCAGTATATATAAGAGAGGTATCCACCCATTCCCACTGCTCACTTCAGATTGAGGTGGTATATGTAAGAGACAGTCTTTCTGGCGACCTGGTCCCAAGCTGTTTAGGGCATGCAGCTCTAAACCAGCCCTTTAAAATGGACCTAAAAATGGACTAGAAGCCAATGCAACAAGTGCATCATGGTCAAACTGCCCCAAACCGATTAGCTCGATGCCACCCACAAAAAGCTAAGGAGCAGCAACTCAGAGGGGGCTAGTGAGGTGCTTCAGACCTTGTTGTAAAGTCCCACAGCTTTTGAGGTCAGAAAGTGCTGCTCTTTCTTCTGCTATTCTTGTATCATCGAGATCCGCCTAAATAAATAAATAAATGAATGAATAACAGTTTTATTCTTCCATTGCTGAATGGCTTTTCATAGATTGTTCAAGTCAGTTCATATGAAGTTGAACCAACAGCTAACCCTTTAATTGAACACTAAAGTTCCATAAGCAATTTATTCTGTATACATTTTCGGAGGAAGAATGTTCCCTGTTCTGCATGCCTTGAGATATTATCTGAACATCACACCGTGGCCTTTAAAACACCATTGCTGGAAGCAGGCAGGGAGCTACTGCAGAAGCAACAGCTTTAGTGGAGTGCCCCCACCTGTCTAAAAGATCCCAGTTGATATCCCATTGAGGTAACTATCCTGCTTGGCTTCAATCACCTCATGAAAGGAGGTGAATATAATTCCCATGCTGTACCTACTGGTTCAGCATTTGTCCTCAAGCCATCCTCAAGGCAAAGTCACCAGCGGCCAGAGGCATCTGCCTATCTTGCGTTCACACAGCGAACTAGCTGAAAATAATCTGGGCCAGAATTTACCCATTTGGTTCTTGCTTGCCTAAGCAGGAAGACTGGGGGAAGGCAGTGGAGAGACACAGAGGTGGTCACCTTCAGAAGATATGTTCAACCAACAAGTTACTTCATGCAAAATAACTGTCCAACACCTTTATGGATGCTTATAATGCTGGAAGCACCAAACAGAATGAAAAATCACCCCAAACGGAATGATTCCATAAGTGAACTGCCCAAAGCTACGTTGGCATCTTCCCTATTTTTTTCAAACAGTTTTTCCTGCCCGTCCCAACCTTACATGAGAGTGTATGCCACATACGTATAACATACCAACCTTCATACATTCTGCTGACTTTACTGGTGTTTTCTTCAAAACAGAACGAAGAGAACTAGAAGGCAAGCCACCCTTCTGCACAGGAGTAAAGGGTGGCTTGGTTTCATCAAATATTTCTAACCTCTGCTTTTCTGCAAATCTAACTTTCTTACAGCTGTGTTGAGCTGTAGTGTCGATGCTTAACTCTGCAACAATGGTATGTGAAAATCGTATACCTTCAAAATACACACAAAGAAAAGGAAGTTAGGAAGCTCACAGTGTAACAGTATTTGTATCAGGGTACATATTGCTTCTGCATATACATGCGTAAAACCCACTGAGTTAAATACAATGTATTTTCAGGGAAGTGCTCACAGGAAAGGAGCCTCAGTGTCTTTATTTAAAATATTTTCCAATGCTAAAATAAAGGCAATCCTTTCCATTGCATACGTTAAAATGCAGTGTTAACATGAACAGTTCCTCTACAATAAGGTAACAGAATTATTAAATCAAAAAACTGTAATAAACCAAGTGCTCACAAATGTAACTAGTATATCAAATTGGGATACAGAGCAAATTGAAGCTGCATTTTCTAGTAGGGCTGGTTGACTCCTAGAAGAAAGCTGTCCCTTCAGAGCACTTGGCATGTGCAAGTCAGAGGATTATGCTGTAGCCCCCCGTTCAGGACTGCTGGTTTTCTGCCCTCTGGAAAAAGACCATGAACAGAAGACTGCCCGTACATGCATCAGTGTGCATGTGAAACACAGACGGCAAGGAAAAGAGGTTCTAATCCTATTTTCTTTAGAAATACTTTTCACTGTGGAAGAAGCTGGAAGGTAAAGGAGGAAAAAGTGGGGAATCCCTTGATTTTTCAATACAGCAATCCTCATTGACATGATCAAACTTAATTTTTCTGCTGCCAGCACTGCATTGAGCAGGACAGCAACCCCGGAAGAGACTGGAATAATACAGGAGTAGTTTTAAATGCTTTTCCCGAGGTGTTTTGGTGTGCACTTTTAATCTACTATAGTTTATCATCACCATCATCACCACCACCCTTATACCCAACCCCCACCCCAATTTCCTCACAAGCTTTACTGCAACCTTTCAGATTATTCCTTACATCAGCTTCAATGTTTTAGCACTTCTATATTTTAATTAATTAGAAGCACTTGTTCAACCTCAGCTATGCACTCCATTAAGATTCAGACAACACCCTTTGAATACATCATCAGTGCAATTTACCTTAAGTTAGTCCTTCCAGGTCAGCCTCCCCCAAGCTATTACTCTGCAGATGTGGTGGCTACAACACCTGGACGTTGCAGCCCAGGACATCTGTAACAGCACCAGGTAGGGGGAGGTTGAAGGAGGTCATATTTGGTGCCTTAAACACCTACAATTTCTAATTCGTGTCCTTAAAATGTGAGCTATGACCTTTGATCTATTTTAACAAAATCACAGACAAGGACGTGCTTATGTATTTGTACAAACAAAGCCACAAAAACACATAATCCAACTGAACATCAGGAAGAACTTCCTGTCAGAGCAGTATGACCATGGTGCCAATTATCTAAAGAGACTGTGGGCTTTCGCCCACCAGAGGTATTCAACTGGACAGCCATCTGAGTGGGATACTTTAACTGGAGTCCTACGTCGAACAGGTAGCTGGGTCCAATGGCCCTCTGGCCCTTTCCAGCTCTACTGTTCTATGACAATTCTTACCATGTTCAGCCTTTGATATGTTCCTACTTGGAGTCATGTCCAAAGGCGTATATCCAGATTCTACAGCCCTTGCTAGAAAAGCTGGATCTGCCTAGGAAGAGCAATAATCATCTATTAGGGCAATGTAAAAGTCTATTTTCGAACAAAATACCATTTTAGTTAACATGACTGACCATCTCCAAAATGATGGGAAACTCATTCAAAATACAGAGAACAGAAAAAGCAAGGTGCAGTGGAGGAGACAGAATGAAGCTGGAAAATGTTTGGGAGACAAACTACAGGGAGCCTGCTGGAGCACCATCCCACCTGCTTGTTGTAATGAGGTCCTAAGAGGAAGGTTGGAAGAAAACTGGAAAAGGAGACACGAGAAATAGTATGTCCTCTGGAGAATAACTGAGTCCCGCAGGGGTGTCATAAGGGAAAAGAGCTGGAATTGGGCATTGTCATCAAGCCCAACAATAAAGGGGTTAGGGAAGAAGAGTTTTAACACTCCGTGACAAACCCCAGAAATATAGCTGTGAAGTGCTAGAGCAGCAAAGTCCAGGAGTATGGTTTCAGAACTTCTTTGAAAGCCAAATGCACATAGTTCATGCTCTTCCCGCACCCAAAGCTATTTAGCAAAGCTATTTTAGCTCTTTGTTGAAAAAAAGGAAACAGTAGCCTGGGAGCAATCTGCTTTTTTCTTGGCTAGTTGTGTTTTTAGTTGCATTCTAAGCAAGAAGAATTAGTTTCACTTTCAGCTATTTGGAACGGAAAGAGAAAGTTTTAATTTGTATCAATACATGCTGAAAATCAGAATGCTTTGAAGAAACAAATATTTTGTGGACAAATATTTATGTATTCAGGGGGAAAGAGTTGGATATTTCCAAACCAAGCTCTGAAATATTGTATGCAGGAGTAAGCCCCAATGCAACAGCAAATACACAGCCGAGTTTTATGCAGGGTATAAAAGACAAGTTTAATTCCTTTTCAAATATTTCCTTAATGCTGATCACTGACTTGACTATTCCAGCCATATGGGCCTGAGGCTTCTAACAATACCTTCAATTTTCATGAAGGGCCCAGATGGCAAGGTAATTTAGAAACATAGAAACAGAATGAGTCAGAAGGGGCCTCCTGGGCCATCTAGTGTGACCCCTGGCTCCAGCCGGCTCTACTCATGGCATGCCCACCGTGTGCCTCCAATTCAGCCACACAGAAATAATACCTTAGAAACAGCAACTGAACCAATAAAAAGTTTATTCGATGGAGGGACAACGTTCTGCAGCGGGATATCAGCCAATGGTCTCTCTCCAGTGATGGATTTAGGATCCAGGCTTTCCTCAGAAACACCCCTCTTATGCTTGGATGGCCACACATAGTCCAGCTTAGATTGTTCATGTACTCTGGTATAAGCTTCATTAGCTATATTTAATACATTAATAAACACACACCTTAGTAGAATATACAAGGTCACCGTATCACACACAGCAGTTCCAATGTTCTCATTCCCAGCCCCAGGCATCATTTAAGGCAAAAGCAGTGAGATTCTAGCAGAGATACTAGAGAAAACATACTGGAAACCATTCTAGAATTATTCAATACGAATTTCAGATGGGAAGGTGCATTGTTGTAAAATTCTTTGTTAAATGTAAATAGAGCAATGGTAACATAGCTGGAGATGGACGTTGCTTACTTACCGGAGTTGGATACATGGGTTGCTTTTTCCTCAGTTTCTTCAAGTGGCTTAAAGGATGATTGGAAAGCAGCTATTTTATCCTTCAGAAATGTGCTCCTCTGGTTAAAAGGACTGGTCTGCTCAAAAACACCGTGAAACACCAAATTTCCAAAAATTTCAAGAAGCAACATTATAGGTCTCATTAAAAAAAGAAGAAAAAGAAAGGACCACCTCACAGAGGGATTTTATTGAGTCTTATCATACTATATGGGAAAACAGTTGTTGGGTATTACCTTCTAGTTTAGTTTCAATACAAATGTGTAGTGTATCCATTTGGAGCTATTACCTACCGAAGACTAGTTTACACATTCTTACGTTTATCACAGACAATAACAAATGCCAAGATTTTAAGCATTGGTTATTCATTTCCAGGTGAACATAAAAAGCTCACCTGCACAAATACTACTGGAAGTTGTATTTTAAAAACCCCCTACAAACCCTACTTTCCTTTTCATCTTCCATACACATATACATTTAAATAATTGTGCTTTAGTGCACTTTGACACAGATTAGACAATCTTACATGTAAAGATTTTGTAACCATTCCACTTAAAAGGTGCTGGCATGCTCTCCCGTTCCTCCATATAACTAAAGAGCGTCTTTCATAGTTGTTCGTGTGAGTGCAGACAAAAGTGAATGTGCGGACAGTGTTCCACCATTGCACCACCATTGGCAACAGCAGCTCACAAGGACACCCACACACCCACACACACAAAGCGTGCTGAGATTCTGGAGGCGTACATAGCATATTTTCAATTGGCATCACTGCTATCAAGAAAGTTTGGCATTCTGAAAGCTGTAGATGACTAGCTGTCAGCATATCACAGACAGTTCTTTAGGATGCACAGAAATCTTTAAAAAACTGATTGTTCCTGTATACAAGCCTTTTTTCCCAAGTAAAAGAAATTCATCATAATGGTAAGCACTTGGGCACTTTGCCACTTGATAAATTAAGTGTTCCTTTTTCCTATGCATTCAAAATGCTTCATGTACATTCTCAGCAGTACTTATGTAAACCATAGAAGAAATATTATCCCTGCACCCTGAGATCTGAATTTGAGACTTCTAGCCAATGACCTCAAGTGTTCTCACCAGCTTGACACCATTGAAATTGTTATTCCAGTGGAAGACCCAAGCAACTGCACACTGTGGCTCAATGAGCAGCAAGATATCTCATTGTTTTTTGAGTGTCTGCAAAGTTCCATGAGACAGGAAAGAGACCCCTCCCTATGAAATTGAACAGAGGGCAGGCACTGCCGTTTAATATCACAGACAAGAAACACCTCTCCGCACTGGTAGAGGCAGGGTCAACAAAGAGCAAAACCACTGAAAGCCACCCAAATTACTTACTAATTTAAGTTTGCTCAATCAAATACTCTGTGTCACTGAAACATTAACTACTTCACATCATTTCCACCTGCAAGCCAGGCTTCAGAACTGGATACATTTTACTGCATATCCATATTCAAAGTTAGAACACGCCTACCTGTGTGAGTGTATCTTGCTTGTTTATTCTCTTTTGCAAAGCCATGTGTCGGATAAGAGAATTGTTTTCTGGAGAGCCCCGCAATCCTATCGTAGATCGCCGCCTAAATTTTTTTAACAAGTTCTTGGATTCCTCTAAAACAAAAAGCAATCAATACTGAATGTTCAAGGAAGCCAAACAGAAAGGCCAGCCTCCAAGTAAATGTTCAAAGCAAACCAATTTGCACAGCTGCTTAAGATCTGAAAGATGCCCTTCATTACAAAAAATAAAATATTTGACACCCTAATCTCAGCCTACTACATTTTTATGAAACCCAAATTATTTTGCTTCAGAAGAAAAACTAGCATTTACAATTAAACTGGTTCACATGTAATGGCAACAGAGAGCATCATGCGTTCATGTCATGCACAAACCCTGAAATATAATTTGACCCAGAATTCATGTGGGTCAAAGAATCCTACCCCCCCTCCGATATGAGGTCTTAACAGTGAGTTAACACTGAGATCTGGAGGTGTTTGGAGTACCTCCAAAGTGCAGCCCCGAACCAAGAACACCGTTTCCCAACAGAAAGCTCATCAAGAGGCCTTGTGGCTTGTGAGGAATGTCTGTTACAACATACTACATACATGTAAAAAGATACATGCTCACAGTTTAGCATTACAATAGTCATTCTGGTGTGTAAACTATACAAAATACTTGATACAAGAGAGAACAATTTACCCAAAAAAAATCTTCTCAACACCTTTACCTTGTTTAGTAAAAGACTAAGGTACATTCAAATACTTTGGTCACCTAATGAGAAGGAATGAGTCACTGGAGAAGAGCCTAATGCTGGGAACGATTGAGGGGAAAAGGAGAAAGGGACGGCAGAGGCTGAGGTGGCTGGATGGAGTCACTGAAGATAGTGGAGGACAGGAAGGCCTGGAGGAATGTTGTCCATGGGTCAGACATGACCTCACGACTAACAACAACACATGGTACACCAGCTGCTACAAGAACTGAGAAGTTACCTGAAACCATAGCTTTGTCAGTGGTTCTTTCACAGATCGGTTCTGCTTCCAATACGCTCTTGGAAGGAGTCAGAGAATTTGCATTCCGCATGATGGTGGGCTGATCCCTTATCAGAGCGCTTCCTGAACTGCTCAGCATCTTTGAGAACAAGAGAGCATTTGCTGATGTGTTTGGTGTCAGGGCACTAGATGAGCAGCTTCCAGAGCAACCATCCTCCTCCATTGCACAGGTGATGTCATTTCCATGCCCCAAATAGAAGTTGCATTGCACATCTGGACATTCAGAAAGTATTTTCTTATTACTCTGGTTTTCCATTGGGAATCTCTTTGCTGCTTTTGATTAATTAGGATACGAATCATTCCCTCGTTAGGAACAGCAATTCTGCCACCAGTCCCAAATGCCGACGGTAAGACAACATAGAGCTGTTCTGCTTTTAAAAGAAAAGCAACCTGTCAGTTAACATGCCATGATACTGCATAACACTGTACAGCCAAGCTCATAACAAGGTCACAGCTGAAATGCAGCCCCCCCCCACCCCAAACTCTTCCAAAATAGAAGCTGGCCCTCAGGTTGAAAGCAGTTCAACCTCCTGTTTTAGAAGGATGAGATATGGAGGAAAGCAGATAAAAATAAAGATTCATGGGAAGAAGGATCCATAATCCACAGTGGACAATGACTGTGGATATCCACAATAACTGAAATAACACAAAAAGTTGTGGACTCTTACAATTTTAACTACTGTACAAAGAATGCATTTTCCTTCTTTTTAACTCATCCCATATTGTGGGGTGATTGTAGTACACTCAGGTGCACATTTGAATACTGTGATTTACACATGTATAGTCCTACAGGTTCATTCTTTTACAACACAGTCACAGACAGGAAAAAAATGGCTCCAAATTTCAGCTTCCTACCTTTTATGAGTCATATATAAACACATGCCACAGGTAAGGCTGGCTGGTGACTTTGTGTCCCCAAAAAGGCACAAAAGCATAGCTCATTTGAGATGATTTTGGTCTCACAATAAAAGCTAAGATTCTAAGAGAAAACCTCCCCTCCATCAAGCATATTTTCAGGAAGAATTAAAACATAAATTATTTAGATAAATTACTTACATAAATAATATGTTGGGATTGCTTAAAGGTTCTTTAATTAAATATGATTGCTTACCATTCCAAAATGTAAGAGAATCTTGCCCAGCTGAGTCAAATTGCAGTAGCTTTATTTTTAGACCAAATTTCCCTGAACTCCACCACAATCAACTCTTCATGAATAAGAAGAGATGCTGCATAGCAATCATGCTCTGCCTTCAACTCCTCATACTTCTGGGATGATTGAGGATGCTTCCAAAGGACTATTTGCTGACATACCCAGTAATCAGGCATAACATATTATATAACATAGGAACCTAACGTGTGCTCATAAATTTATAATGTCTAGTTTATTAAAATTAAATAATTTTAGAGAATAAAAGAGAATTATTAATTTACTGAGATTCCTTTAATTTTCAAAATTTCAATAGTTTTACCATCCAAGCAAGTTATACAGAATATTTTAAGTTCATAGAGTACGGAAATCACTTTGATCTGGAAAGAGTGCTAAAAATATGTGCATTTGTTTAAGAGCTTAGCCAAGGGAATGCTAAAGGGCAGAGGGGAGATGTATCAGATGTGGATTAGAGGACTAGGCTGCTTATGTAGATATATAATGCATGCTTTGGGGGGACAACTGGCAAGACCTTGCTTTTGGGCACGCACCCCCATTGTTCTCTGCTTTGTTCTTTAGTGCGCTAGAATAAAGCTTGATCTCTGCTCCTAGTTTCTAGACTCTTAACTGGTATGAGTCTGGGGTCCCTCAGATTTGTACTGCTCGTTCTGGCAACAATCCCTACCTTTTTAAATATTGCTATTAATGCCAGGTCTCTAACGGAGGCAAGCCAGACCAGTACCCGCATCCTCAGCATCGCATTACAGCTGGATGACTGATAATCCCTAATCTGGATGGAGAATAATACCTTGATCTCTCACGGGAGGCGGCAGAGTATGCAGGCACTAACAATCCAGACCTCCAAGCTGAAACTCACTGCAGCATGTGCAGGTCCAGCCTGCGCTATTTACTCAACGATAAAACGAGCTGATCTCAAAAAGCTTACTCCCTTGCAGGTTGTGCAACTCCAGCTATTGCAGCTATTCCTCTTGGTTGCCATTTCTTAAGAGTCGCAGAGCTGGAAAGGGCCATGAAGGCCATCGCGTCCAACCCCCTCCCGCCCCCGCCGTTGCAGGGCACTAATTTGCACCATCCACCAAGTCCAATGCGACGGTCAGTGCGCAAGGGACAGCAACCTCCAATGCAAAAAGCGCGCAAACTCTACGCATCCTTAGCCGGGGCGGGGGGACCGATCCTACGAGGTCCACTCGCTGAATGCCGCGAGTTGCAGCGCTTTTGGAGCCGAAGCATGCATAAGATTACTCACCAAGGCTTCAAGGCTCTGCGGGTTTAGACGGCACCAAGTCCGACAACCCAAGCGTCTCTCCTGGGGTTTGCAGGTCTTTCCCTGCCCAGACGTGCCCAGGATGGTGCCCTCGGGCTCTATTCCTTTTGCACGTGTAACCGGGGTCCCCGCCTACTGAACGCGCGCGGTACTTACTTCAGAGTAAACAAGCTTCCCCCTCGACAAACGAGACACACATGGGGCGGACCAGCACTCCCACCAACCCCAGCCAGCTTGGCACACGGGGGCTGTGATGCGCAGCGCCCCGGGTCTACACCGCCCCACACGGACGCGCAGCACGCCCTACTCCGGGTTCGTTACTCCGTTGTTACCCCGGAGCAGAACCGCGGAATTACGAGGGGGGATCAAGCAGGGGCAGCCACCCCATTCTTTGCCCCCTCCCCGGCGAAGGGCAACGGCAGCCACCCTTCACGCACTGCCGCTAGCTCCCCGGCCCGGGCGAGAGCGACTCGCTGACACCGCGCGCTCCTACAACCGCCCCGCTTTTTCCTCGCGCCGCCTGTTCAAAACTGCCTTCTCACTGCCCCGCAACCCCCAGATCCCTCCGCTCCGCCATGCCCTCCCGAAGGGACTCCTTTTCTCTCCGTCCTCGGGTTCCATCCCCTCTTCAGCCTCAGGTTACCGACGCTGCCTGGACATTGTGGCCTCACAGTTCGCAAACGAAAGGAGCCCTTCTCCGTATCGCAGGACTACTTTTTCACGCCCTTTTTCTTTTCCCGTCTCTGTCTGGCGGAAGGATAAACGTCTTTGCAAAACAAACATTGATTAAAAGAACACGTGATGTGAGCTTTCCAATCGGGGCCCGAGCTCACTTTCCTAGGTTTGAAAAAAAAGATAAGGACTCCTGCCTCGGGCTCCGCACCACGCTCTCGGAAAGCGTGACCTGATAGGCTCCTGATTAAAACCCCTCCCTAAAGGCGAGCAGCCCATATAAAGGCATGCCTGCCTGAGCCGAGAAGACCCGCCCATCGCGTTAACTAGGTCTCCTATTGGTCCAAGGGGGAGGCGGAGAAAATCTTTTTGTTGAGGATTGGCGGCGGGGCGCGTCAGTCAATCCATTCTGGCTTCCGGGTTTGTAGCCAGGTTGGCAAGTCAAAGGCGTATCAATATCTGCTGCGGGGAAGGACATGAAGCGAGTCACCCTGTTTGTTAATGGCAGCCCACGAAATGGGAAGGTGAGTGCCTTTTTGGAGGGGCCAGCGGGCCTGGATAGCGGGGGAGGGTGCATGGGGGCGGGGGGAACTGAGTTGGAAGGAATAATGCTGGTTGCCACTCCATCCGTTCACGTAGTGCTCCAGCGCCGCAGGTAAGTCCCTGCTCCCAGAGAGCTCCCGCTCTAAACTTGTGCGGAAGTAAAAGAGCTGCGAATTTACGGGTTTAAGCTGCAGTCCTCACCTACTTGCCTAAGTCAGTCCTACTGAACGCGCTGGTATTTACTTCTGAGTGGATGTGCATAGCTTTATCGTGAGATTGCAAAGCCTGTGCAAATGGATCTGGCACACACGGCTTACTTCTGCACAAATCTGTATGTTTATCTACGTGTTCACTTAAAAGATTGCATGCTTTTCTGGGGGAAATCCCGCCCCGAGCTTAGTGGAGCTTCATTCTGAGTCAATGTGTGTAAGCTGCCACACTTCAGCAAAGTTGCTAGGGCAAATTAGAAAACACAGCCTTGAAGGACATATATGGACAAACAACGCCATATCTGCCCATGACAAAAAGAAAGTCGGAATCACAGCTGGGCAATAATCTTCGTTGGGGCTGATCAAAATGACAAATAGGATGCTTGAGTCATCTTCTCAAAATTGGCCTGGGAACTAAACTGTACCAAAACAGAAGAGTTAATAAACTTATGGGGTGGGGGCATAAACTACCAGCATCGTGACCTTGTCATCACCTGTCAGAACCCGGAACTGGACCTGGACCTGGACCTGGTGCAGATCCAGCAAGTACAGCTTGAGTAGGAATTGCACAGAGTACTTGTGCCAGAGGGTGGAGCAGGTATCGGGAAGCGGGAGCTTTAGGCCAGACTGAGAATTAGGGATGAAGGTAGTTTGATAGTTGGGTCACATGCCAGATGCCCATCTGGTTGTATGAAATGGCAAGCTTTGTCTCTGACCAAGGCATTATGACTCTGTGAAGCTAGTCCAGAAGCTCACCTGGTACCTGGCGCTTGTCAGATGCTGTGTATTGATAGCTCTTCATGGGCTGCCCATCTGCTACTGGTAGGTTTAAAGTTCTTGCACTGGTTTAAAAGCCCTGAACAGCTTGGACTGCAATAGTTACAAGAAGGCAGTTTTCAAGCAAAGTGTTCTAAGAACCAAGCAACTGTTAGGGAGGTGGCAGGCTCTCCATCCCTGGAGGTATTCAGGCAAGGAGTGGAGAGCCATTTGTCAGGGATGCAGACGTAGGTTCTGGCCCAAGTCCCCCAGTGGGGGAGTGGGAACTAGAACCCAGATCCCCTGCATCCTAACCCATTGCTCTCGGTACCATTGCACACCCTAGAGGAGTTTCCAAGCTAGCCTTCTTGAGTGCAGATACTTCTGAATGCTTCTCTCGTGGCTTTGGATTTTTTAGTTGGAAAAGAAGCCCCCCCCCCAAGACCCTTACCACACAGCCTTCCTTTTCGTGCATGCACACCCAGTGATGTTCTCCCTGTATTGACAGGGGAAGGTATGTCACCATGTGGTGCTGCCTTCAGTGCAGGTACAAAGTCACCTTCGCAGTCATGATAAGGCAAAGCCTGTGGCGTCCTTTCCTGCATAAATTAATGGCTGCAGCATCCTCCTGGGTCTAATCTGGGCCACCTTGAAGGTTCATTTCTACAAAGATCCTTGTCAACACCTTGCTGGACATGGTCAGATTTAGGTATAGTTCCTTGTAAGACTCATTGTCTTTTATGCTCCCATTCCATGCAATGTACTTAGTGAGGTATACAACTGGATATAAAAAATACTTTCATGTCACCCCAGCATTTTGGAAGGATGAGAAGTTCCAGCGGCATGGTGCAATCCAGAAGTTCCAAGCATATTCTGCTGTTTCAGGACAAGGTCACTAGAAGCTCCGGTCAATTTGGTAATATCTGAGCTTATTTACAGATAGACAGGCAGAGTAGCACACAGCTTAAGCAGGCCTTTCCAACCTGGTTTCCTCCAGCCATCCTGGACGTGAATTCACCAGATGGCCAAGAGTCAGGAATGCTGGGATCATAGGAGGACATGAGACTGGAGAAGGCCAGTTAAAATCCATTCCATTGGCAAGATGCCTTTCAACACACTAGAGAAAGAGGCACTTGCAGTGCCCCATCTCCTTGAGTCTGTCTTACTGTGCGGCACTGCTCAGCTGAGCCAATCTTTGCTTAGTGGGCAGAGGTTGGAAGGGCCCTTTGCATGGGTGTGCAGTCATTTTGCTTCTTCCTGGAAAATGAGCTTGACCATTGTAATTAACTATCACTTCCTGTTACTTCCCAGTGATCCAGCCAACTTTAAACCATGGGCTACCTAGCATAACCATGGTTAATATTCTAGTAACCATAATTTTTCCTTTTAGACATAACAGGAAGATAAATCTTGTTTCCTGGGTTTTTCTTCCACTCAGGACGGGTGAAGTGGATGCTGGGGGCTCCTTTGTCTCTTGGCTTGTTAAGCTGCTGTTTAGGTAGAAATGGAGAAGGAAAGGCACGTCCCCTTTTGGGACATCCAGGCCTTTTTTTAGCCAACCCCTGCTCATCTAGCCAGAAGATATCGCTGGCAACTTTGCCATTCTCTGCTTTGGAAGATTTGTAGGCAGCCTGGTCCCAGTAACCCTCTCCAGCCCAACAAGCGGCCACACGAAGCAGAATGGGCAAGATGGAGGGCCCAAGCACAGCAAGCATGTCTTATACATGAAAAAATAAACATTTATACAAAGAGGCATTGCTCGGCCCAGCCTGTAAGACCATTTAATCCAGATTCTAAAATTACCTAGCTGCACCACTGATAAAACATTAACAAAGCAAACCAGCAGCGTAAGTCATTACCCGAAGCTTATGAAAATAAGGCCAGGCGTAGAACCATTAAATTTTCACCAGTCATTCTGATGGGGGTGGGGGAATTTCTTCATTATCCCAAATAATGGAGGTGGATTATGTCAACACAAAGCAGAACCCATGCTTCTGATTTCCCATCTTCATTTGAAAACAGAGCTATTTTGCTGCAAGCGTAACATCCAGTTATTAAAATTCATTTCGTCGTGCTGCAATCATGAACAGTTCTGTGTGTGTGTGTGTGTGTGTGTGTGTTTTGCAAACAGTTGTTTTATCCTCTAAATTTCACTGTGTTCTTACTTACATTGTACTCAAGGTTTGTTTGCTCGTTGTACAAGTAATTTCTGGATAAGTTCAGGTAGTTGCTGAGTCCTGAATTTTCAGCTATGGTTGTAGATGGGTTGAATGGGATGGATGTGGAATTTGAAAACAGAGGTGTGTCCCCTGGTCTCTATTCCATACAGATGCCATTCCAAGAGTGGTTTAATTGTTGTTTTGAGAATTTGCATGCCTGGAGATGGGCAGAATGATTCACATAGAGAGGAAAACTGTTTTAAACAGCTGCCTGCAAAGCTGGAGAAGGTGATTAAACTGGAATCAGAAATGGAAAGTGACTCCTAATACTAATGGAACAGTATATGCCAGGGGATTACAAAGGAAGTGACAGCCGAATTGTCACTGGAATCTGTACACTCACTACAGGGTGGGGACCCCTGTTGGAATTATCTGCCTGATGAGGGATTAAGGAGAAAGCAAACTGCCTCATATCACAAGAGAGGGAGCAAAACAAGTGTTCTGTTATTGGATGGTGGCCCTCCTGCTGTTGCAATAATGTTCTGTAAAAGCCCTGGATGTTACATGACATGTCCGTACATGTGAGAGCAGCCACATAATTCTCTTGCCTCAAAATTCATGGTTGGGGATAACTGTGTTGAGTGGTTGAAAGAAAGAGGCAGAAGAATGGAATTTTGCACTTTTTGGAGCCTTCAGGCAGATCCTTCCTGAAAAACTGGAAGGAAAGTCCCAAGATAGGGTTCGGGTTAGGAAAAGCTACCTCCATACCTTATTTTAGGCTTGATGGTGAAACTCCATGGTAGAGTTAGGGTTTAGAAAACCGAGTTCCACGTGTGCCCCAAATGGCCTGGACTGAGTCCAGGTGGAACTGAGAAAGTGAGTGGGCAACACAAATCTGGTGTACAGTATATTTGGACCACGAGGCCCCCTTCGCAGGGGCAATACCAACCATTGACCATTATAAGTGAGCACCAGGGTAGGAGTTTGGTTTGGAAAACCAACTTCTGCACATGTTTTAAAGGGTCAAGAACCAGTCCAGATGATGTAGAAAAAGTGAGTGGTCAACAGGAACCACATGTACCCTGCATTTGGACTATGGGAACCACTGCTGAGGGGCCATACCAGCCCTATAGGTGCAGAGCCCTGTTATGGTAAGGACTGGGAAAACCAAGATCCGTACATCTTCAAAAGGGCCTCTGGACTACCAGGTCCAGAGGTGGTAGAAAAAGTGAGCAGTGAATATGAACCTGCTGTATGCCCTCTTTGGGCCCTGGGACGCCCTTCTGAGGGGCCAAAGCAGCCATAGAAATGTTTTAATAAATAAATAAATAAATAAATAAATTTAGCATCATAGATAAAGAGCCGGTTTAGAGTTAGAGTTAATAAAATTGAGTGTTCTTTTGGGCCTGGAACTCCTTCATGTGGGGTTTAAAAAACCCCTCAGCGGTCAAAAAGAACAGCAAGCCTTCTAGCTTTTTGCAAGTGTTTGAAACTTACAGGGTCTATTTCATCCTTTTGCAGTAGGGTGAAGAAGCAGGTTAAGTCCTGGATTCAGAGAAAGTAGCTCTGTCTACATGTTTTGGGACTTAGAACAGGTCTAGTTCCAGTGAGCAGTTCACAGGAAACACAGTTCCAGGGCGTTTGTGCAATCTTGTGTAATGCGCAGACACTACACAAGCTTTTTCTACTAGGGTTAAGTGCCAGTTTGGACTTACAGTCAGCGAGAACTACCACTGTGCACATGCCTTGAAACCTGGAACAGGTGCAGTTCATGGAGTAAACCTGAGCTGTCCAGAGGAGAAACCCCTTGTGGGGCATTTGTGCCAGCAAAATATACACGTTGTCTATTGAAGCGTACCGAAGAATTTCAGAAGAATATCAGTTATGTGCTTTGTAGGCTGAATGTGCGGATCATGGGAAGCTATGGACGGTCCTGCAAGAAATGGGTGTGCTTCAGCACTTGATCATCCTGATGCATAAGGAGGAATGATTAACTGCAGAAGACATGATGCTAGGGGAAAGCGAAGGCAGAAGACCACCTCTTTTGAGGTGGTCATAAAGGAAGTCGCAGCCCGAATGGAGCAGAGCTGTTCTGGGTAGGGTTGCCACAAGTCAGGGATGAGTTGATGGCACATAACAACAATGAGGTTACACCCCAATTAACTTAGGCAGGATAGTTTCCTAAAGCAGCTAACCAGGGTTGGAGTGCTTGAAGAGTGAGGGGTGGAGGGACGCTAGCCCTTGGGAATGCCTCCCCAGTGCCTGCTCTTACTCTTCACAAATGGGAAGGAGGAACTGCTGAATGGGGTTCAGTTGCAGAGCAGTGGTGCTGTTTGGGCTGGCCCTTGCAGCTCGCATCAGGGCCGGCCCTGCAGAGGACTCATCAGGGAGCCGCAGCTGCTGAGGGCAACAGAAGCAAACTCTGCTCTGTTCCTGCGGGTACGAAACTGCTGTGCATTAAGCGCATTTAACAGGGGTGTGGAGTTCGTTTTTGTGTGGTTTTAAATCCATCTCGTCATTAGTGTTCTGACACAATGGAGTGTTGAAGTAATTGGAAAGCGTGTGCTTCACATAGTGCTTGCATAAGACCATTATTTAGTGGCACTGCTGCTTTTGTTGAGTCTGGCTGCCCTCAGTGGCTGGAGATGGGAAGTAAAGCCTTAGGTGTTAATCTGCCACACTTTCACAGCCACCTTCCACCTAATGCTGCTTATGAATTCCCTGCTCTTGTGCCTTTAAAAATTAGCCTTGTGCGGACTCTTAGAAACTTAACTTTCTCACAGCCTTTCTTTCCATCCAGTATCATTAATGCTGTAATTCTAGCCATATTTACTAGTATACAAATAGATTTTACACTGCAGACAGCCTTGCAGACATGAATGTGTAGACTGATCAAACAGGGCTGCCAGTTTCTTTCTAGCTGGACTCCTGTACCTTGAACAGCTGCTTGAGACACAGAAATTCAGCAGGAAATACCTTTCATAGCTGCATCTGCAACCTTGTCCCACAAGCCACAAGAAGAGCATTGACAGTCCTGTCAGTAGCACAAATATGTGACAGATGTATGCATGTTGAACAAATACATTGTAGACTGAGTGGAAATCAAAACAAAACACCATACCTCTTATCCGAGTGTTGATGTGTACAGTGACTGTAATTTGCAGCTTCATTAATGACTTGCTTGCATGAATAGGGGATCATCACAGGCCTCTAAGTATTGACTTCAAACAACAAATGTGCTTAGTGGCCCAAACAGTTTGGGGACCTTCCCTAGTCAATCTGTAGGATTTGAAAATAGCCCGGATGGAAGACATGCTAAACACGTGCATTCACCTGAGGTTTCTGGGATGCCCATGGATAATTATCATCAGTACATTCGATTCACACCCCACCTTTCTACCCTTTGCAAGGACCTGAGGCAGCTTACAAGCATTTTCCTCCTCTGCATTTCATCTGCACAACAATCCCCTCCTGGAGTAGGTTAAGCGGAGAGTCTGTGACTGACACAAGTGTACCAATTATGATTGTTCAATATGGCTTGGGACCACAGTTCTTAACAGAGCACCCCTTCCAACTGCAATCTACCCAGACACTCCACTCCACATCAAGGGCCTTTTCCTGGGTGCCAACGCTGAAGAAGGCTCCTGGGGCAGCAGTGAGAGGGATGGCCTCCTCTGTGGTGGATCTAGCAAGTCCTGCCCATCGCAACTCACCTGGCAGTAGCCTTGTCATCTTTTCTTTACCAGGTTAAGACAGGCGTTCATGGTAAGGCTTTTAAAGATACTCTTGGGTATCCAGGGCTTTGAGGAGACTGCCCATCCCAGGTCGTGGTGGTTGCTTGGTTGTTTTTGCAGCATTTTTGGCTGTTTTAAATTTTATGTTACTTAAAATAAGATGTTAAGGCATTTGTGTTGTGCTTTATGGTCCTGTTTAATGAGAGTTAGTCCGGTGTGGCTAGAGCATTAGACTGGGGATCTGGGTTCTAGTCCCCACTCTGCCGTGCATCTCATTTGGTGAAGCTGGGCCACTCACAGATTCGGCCTAACCTACTTCACAGAGTTGCAGCTTGGAGGATAAAATGCAGTATAAAAGTCACTGGAGGTTCCTTACCAGAGGGGGAAAAGTGGGATATAAATGCAATGTAATCAGCAGCAGCAACTTCCACCCAATATCGGCTATTGGGTGATACAGAAATGAAATAATGATAATGAATGCATCCTGCAGCTGGTAAAGGGAAACATCTAAAAGTCAACTAAAGCAGGAATGATTTTACAGTGGCAAGTTGGCTTACAAAGCCCAAGTTTTAAAAAAACAAAACAGCATATTTTAGCGTAAAGCTTTTGCTACCAGTAACAAAGGTTTAGAAGAGGCCTTTTCCGCATTTTGTAATGGGAGTAAAATGCACAAAAGCCGCCAAGCCACCCAGTTGTTGGAAAGAATGGGGTGGGAGCAGAGCAAGAAGCTAGATAATTGATTGGGATGCAGGCTGTGGGTAGGGTGGGGGGTTGAAAAGAACCTGAAAGCTTGTCTTCTGTTTGAACAAGCATGTTTGTGTAAACCAACATCAGACTTTGGATTGTTAAGAGCAGCATTTCACTTGCTCAGGAATCACTGGGCTGTATACTACGAGTATGTGTGGGCTTTGTGGGTCCTGATTCCATTGTGCTTGCACTTGTATTGAATGCCATATCCTTGGTGAAAGGGCAGCAAGAGGTGTAAGGTTTTTCTTCCCTTTTAAAAAAAAAATAGAGAAAATACGGTAAAGAAAAGGCTTGTGGGGAAGAAATCCTAAAGGCACCGACTATCTCATGCAGTGGGCTAAAGGGCCAACTTTCTTTTTTATAGGTCGTGGCTGTTTATGGAACGCTCTCGGATTTACTTTCCGTGGCTAGCAGTAAGCTTGGCATAAAAGCAACCAGTGTGTATGGTAGAAGAGGAGGCCTCATTGACGACGTTGCTTTGATTAGGTAAGCCTGGCCTAAGCTGAGCATGAACTCCTACGCACAGACCAAAATGGATTGAGCACTTGGGGGAAAAAGGGTCTATGAAGCTGCTGTCTGGGAAATGGCAAACTTGTACTCAAAAGCACCCTTACCTTCTGTCTTGCTGAAAGCAGGCTTGGTGTGGACTCATTTCCTGGCACAGAGACCCGATTCAGAGCTCACGGCTGCACCATGCTCTGGTCTTTGGGCATGAGTTATAGGCTCCATTCGCTTCCTCTATTGGCATTCTTAGCTTCTTGGCTTGTTGTACAGAGTTTCCCGTAACGTCTGAAAAGAGCAACCTATGGTTATTGGATCCAGCCCCTAGTTTACAGGCAGATCAACATTCAAGATAACTGGGGGTTGAGTTCCCCTTTTTCTCCATTCTCACAAATAGCTTCTGCTCTATTACCAGCTTTTATGTTATGCTTTTGATGCTAGAACAAATTTGTTGGAAAGAATGCTTCAAGCAAATCTTCCAACTTGTTTGCAAAAATATGAATCTAACTTGAACTTTCTCCAGCATTCCCAGCCATATATGCTGTAATGTTTGAGGCTTTTGGATGCAAAGCAGATTAAAACTCTTGAATTTATTAAAAAATAGATACTTAAAGGTCAGTTAATTCATCAAGACTAAAATGTTTTTACAGAATCACTCAAACTTAAAAGTGTTCAAAAATTCAAATTCTGAAACAGGCCATGGAAACATTGGTAGTGTTCCCTTCCCCTTCTGAAGAAAATTAATGCCTGACACTTTTGAAAAATACATATTTTCTTGCAAATATGTTTAACAGAGCAACTCTGATGCACATAGCATGTAAGTAAAGCTGGTATTTATGCAGATGACTATTACATGACTGGATATGCACAAATAACTGCATTTTTGAAGCCCCATATATGTTTTTGTGTATAGCACAAGGGGACAACATGCAAGCTTGATGTCGCTCACCATGGCACTAAATTCAGTGGCTAGTAAAAGTATTGTGTGGGGTGTGTATGTGGAGCACTGTAACACTGCGGAGTGTTAAATGGAGTACACTGAACTTTGGGATATGCTCAATTTGATAAGCTGGGTACTCTAGTGCTAAACCACCATTCCTGCCCCTGCCCCCTTGCGTTGGGTTTCGCGGTGCTTCACTGTATGCAGGTGTGCAAGGTGTCCGGTGAGTATAAATGCCCCCGGATCCTCCAAAATTGCCCACCCCAGTGTGTACGAAGTTGCACAAAGCTTCTTACACATTGCACAAAGCTCGGTCTAAATTTAGGTCAATGAGGAGAGCTTCACGTAATTGTTGGGGTGTAGAAAGGTGGGACCAGAACCAGCCACTTGGTTTCTGAGGGCTGAGCTACGTGTTTAAGGGAACACACAGTCCTCGAACGAGGCCCCGTTCCTCCTCATGTCCCACCTCAGTCTTCCTGTCGCCTCACAGCCACCCCCGCGGGGTACACTCATTTCTGCTTTGTGGCAGCATGAAGAGATGCGATATTCCACCTGTCCTTTGTGGCTCCGCAGTCCCAGGAGGCAGCTGCCACAAGACTCTCCCGAATCGTTAGCTGGCTCTCGGGCACCTAACCAGTTATTCTGAAGCAGTTTCTTCAGGGCTTAGCATTCTTTGTGTGATTTACAAGCTTGGAGATTGAAGATGATCAGCTCTGTAAGCATATCTGTAGGAGTTATGTTCCCCTTCATTTGGATGTGGAAGCAGCTGACTCTTTCTTTTGCCCCACTACAGGGATGATGATGTTCTTTTCGTATGTGAAGGGGAACCGTTTATTGGTAAGCATCCAGAATTTGGATCATTGTTTTTTGGCAAAAGGGAGTGGTGGTCAGAAAGTCACAGGTGGACTGAAAGTGCTTTTTTGCAGATCCCCAGACTGATATAAACCTACCAGAAGCATTAACAGGATCTCATTCAGACTGGATAACACTCAATGTCGGAGGACGATACTTCACAACTACCAGGTAAAATCTGAGGCTGCCTTGCTGTAAGATTTACACTTGGTGAAACTGAGTTATTTCTTTTAATCAAGCTCTTCAATAAAGTCACTGAGACAGCAGGCAAAATTGGTACTGATATTACAGAACGTTATGCTATTCCACTAACCTGCAGGCTCGCAATACCAACAGCGTTCACAGAATCAGAACAGAGGAGTGTGAAGGAGCCCCTAAGGTCCTCAAGTCCAACTCCCTGCTCATTGCAGGACTCCAGTCGAAGCACCCCTGACAGGTGCCTCTTGCATGCTTGCAGTGTGGGAGAGCCCACAACCTCCCCAGTCATCGGTTCCATTGCTGTACTGCTTGAACAGTCAGGACGTTTCTCCTGATGTCCTGCTGGAACCAGGCTTCCTGTAACTAAAGCCCATCATCCCACGGACTGCATCTGGGGCAACTGAGAAATGATCCTGGCTTTCAGCAGTGGGACAGTCTTTTGAGTGCTTGTGGAGTGCTACCACTCTCCCCTACGTCTTCTCTTCCCAAGGCTAAACATGCCTAGTTCTTTCAACCTCTCATTGCAGACCTTGTTTCCAGTCCCCTGATCATCTTTGTTGCCCTCCTCTATTCCAGTCTGTCTGCATCTTTCTTCAACTGTGGAGCTCAGAAATGGGCACAGTCCTCAAGATAGGGCCTAACTAATGCCAGATAGAAGGAAGCCAGAGCCCATGTGATTAATGCCCCCCTCCCCCATATAACATTTGCCACATCACATTATTGATGTGAAGCTTGTGATCTATAACAATTCCAGGATCCTGGTCACTTGCAGTATCGTTGAGCTTAATAGCTTCCATCTTGTCACAGTGCACTGGGTTCCCTTGAATCTTGTTTCTGTCTTCCAGGGTATTAGCTGTTCCACTCAATTTTACGTCATCTGTAAATCTGATCAGCCTTCCAAGTCATTAATAAAAATGTGGAAGAGCACCAATCCCAGGACTGTGTCTTGTGGCACCTCGCCCAGTGGCTCTCCCCAGTCTGAGAAGGTGCCATTGAGAAGCACTCCCTGAGTCTGGTTCCACCGGGTTCTGTAGCCACTATGAATCCACCTGATAGATGTTCCATCTGGCCCACTTTTTGCTAGTTCGCTAATCAGGCTATCATTTGTTAAAAGCTGCTCTGAAATCAAGATATATTATGTCCTTAGCATTCACCCAGTCTGCAAGGGAGGTTACCCAGTAAAAGAAATAAGATCGGATTCATCTGGCAAGAGTTGCTCTTCTGCCAGTTTCTTTATTACTCTAGTATGCAGCTCATCAGGCCCCGGAGATTTGAACTTATTCAAAGAAATTAGGTGTTCCTGGACTATTAGCTTATTAATCTCAAGCTTCAATCCTGGCCCTTCAGTTCTACCTGGGTGGCCATAGACTTGCTTTTGGGAAAAAGTTGAGCTGAAGTAGGAATAAAACAGTTTGGCCTTTTCATCATCTGTTATCAGTTTGCTCACCTCATTGAGAAGCTGAACCACTATTTATCTTCTCTGCATTTTACACCTGCTGCTTTTAGCATCCCTTGCTGGCCTCAGCCCATTTGCAGCTTTTGCCCTCCTAATGCCATTTCTGAACATCTGTGCCACCTGCCTGTGCTCTTCTTTTGTTGCTTGACCTCCCTTTTCCTATATGTGTCGCTTTTGTTTTCAGATCAATTTGAAGGTTTTTTGGTTTGGTTTGGTTTTGATTTTTGTGGTGGAGCCAGATTGGTCTCGTTTGTCATCTGTCTTTGTTGGAAATGTTTGTAACTGTGCTTTTAAAATTAGTTTTTTTAATAAACTCCCATCCATCTTGGACTCCTTTGTTCCTTAGAGTCACTGGCCACAAGACCTTCCTTATCATTGTCCTGAGTGTATTAAAATCAGCTTTCCCAAAATCCAGAACACCCGTATGGTTATGTCCCATTTCTGCTTCCATTAAAATCAAGAACTCAAGTATGTTGTGGTCACTATCTCAGAGGTCCCATAACTTCCACTTCATCCACTAAGTCATCCTATAAGTCAGTATTAAATCTAGGACAGTGGATCCTCTAGTTCCTACCTCCAGTTTTGTCTGGATCATTTTTCTTTCCCTCCTCCTTCCCCTTCGAAGAACTGGGGAGATAAATGAGAACATAACCTGTTCTCCAAAGTTCTTGACTTTCCTTCCCAGAGCCTCAGAACCTAATGTGATCGCTCTGTAGCTCCATTGGGTGGCATTATTTGTGCCTGTGTGGATTAGAAGAAAGGGATGGGTGGCTGAGCTTCGCAACCTTTCAGTCACATCTCTTGTCTGGGCTCCAGGGAGACAGTATGCCTGCAAGTCCATGTGCTGTCACAATATGCTTGGTTTTCAATCCCACACTGCAGGGATTCCCCCGCAATTCCTTTTCTCTTGGGCAACTGTCTTTCTGCATCCTCTACTCTTTACCACAGCAAAATTGAAATGATAACCGAAGCCATGCCAACAAATCGGCTATCATTCATTTTCGACCCAAGAAAACTTTTTTTCTCTCAATCTGAAAAAGTGTAAGAATTTCAGAGTCAAGCATAAGCCTTGGACCCCATAACCTGTTGAGAGCCTGTTTGTATAGTTGGTTACACATAGGTTCATCAGAATTTAGCACTGAATGGTGGACTTGTCTGGTCTGGTGCAAGCAACAGACAAGAGGCTGTTGCTTGCACCTGACTCCATTAGAATCCATGCTGAGAGGCTTTTAACCAAAAAGTTAAAGATGTATTTGCTTACAAACAATCCATATGTGGTTTGTATGAAGGGGAGACCTTGATATCTGCAAGCAAGATAGCTTGGAAAGATCACCATTAAAACACATATTGCTTTCTTTCACCCTCTCTAGCAGAATCTATTTCTTTTAATGATGTCTTTATGTAATTATACTGCTAGCAGGGTCCTGAGATAAGATCAGCATAAAATAAAAGCATGGAAAGATAGATACGCTCTCTGCTAACAAAACCAGAACTGGTACAAAAAATAACAATTCACAGCCTGAATTCTGAAGAGCAAGGCTTTTGACTTATTAATGCTTTGTGGTGTTTTTCCCCCCTCCAGGAGTACTTTAGTTAGTAAAGAACCAGATAGCATGCTGGCTCGCATGTTTAAGGATAAAGGTCAGTATGGACTAGATCCTCTCAGTCACTCCCTTTTGCTGTGCTGTATAATGGGAACTTTTCTTAAGATCCAATGGTAGCAAAACAGACAATGGCCAGAACTGCATCACATAATGGCATTGTCTACTTCTGCTTGTACTATGGCGTTTCAGTATTCTAGCAAAGCCCAGCAGATTGCTCTGAGAATCTGTGCACCTAGTTTTCAGGAACAAATAATGAGTCACCATTGTTGTGGAGCAAAACACTCTGTCAGTTTGGAGTCTGCTAGAAGCTGAAATAATTTTCCTGCCCATTTTTAAGCAGCCAATACGGTCTCTCTCTCTCCCCACTTCATTGATGCAACAACCCTACAAGACAAATATACTACTGGGTCTTGTAAGTGCACATATTGATACACTTTGCTCTGCAATAAAAAGTGACTTTTCTCAAGTTCTTCAGTAAGAAAAGTTCACATTTGGGTGATTCTTACCTGATGTCCTGGTGGGAGCCATTTAGGCCAACAAGTTCAACTTCTTGCCCAGTGCAAGAATCCAGTTTAAAGCATCCCCGACAGAGGAGTGTCACTCTTTGCTTGCCCGCCCCTAGGCACTTGGCTCCATAGACTGACTCCATGCAGAGCAGAGCTTCTGTCTCTTCAGAGCAGATCTGCAAGGAGAGTTTGGCCATCTTTACCTCCCATGTTCAGCACCTGTCTCAAGTCCTTTTCTTCCTGTCCAACCCCATTCAACACTGGATTTTTCTCACCTGTATCTCACAGCTGTTGCTTACGGGACCCCTCTGGCCCAATTTGATTATAGCAAACAAACTGCAGCAGGGAGCCAGGGGCTGATGAGCATCCTCTCCCCTTCCTTTTTTGCAAGGAGATGAGAATAAAAGTAGTTCTCCCCTTTGTCCCACACATGATTTCTGAAAGCCAATCAGGGCTTAATATACACAAAGGATGGGGGAGGATGCAAGGTTTCCCCGCAGTTAATTTGTGAAGATCCAAATGTGCTTGAGATTAAGAACATAAGAAGAATCCTTCTGGATCAGAATGAGGGTCATTGTCCCCTACTTTGAGGTCAATCTAAGTGCCAGATGTGAGGGGAAATGTGGGAAGCCACCAAATGCTCGGGGGGGGGAAACAAGAATCTGGGTCAGCAAACCCCAGGAGGGATGGATTGGGGCCTTGGGTTTCTTATGCATCCAACAGCACCCCTTGAAATCAGCCTTGCTCAACCTACAGAAGTGGGGCCATTGTAGTCCGAAACATAGAAACAAAGCGAGTCAGAAGGGGCCACCCAAGCCATCCAGTCTGACCTCCGGCACCAGCCGGCTCCGCTCACGACATGCCCACCATGTGCACGTCCAGCCTATCCATGAACACCCACACCGATGGGGCCTCCACCACCTCTCATGGAAGCCCATTCCACACCCTCGGGGTCCTGACTGTCAGGAAGTGCTTCCTGGCATCCAGATGGAACCTTGGCTCCCTGAGCTTTGCTCCATTGGAGCACGTCCTGCCTTCCTCTGCAGGGGAGAACAGGTCTCTACTCATCTCCATGTGACATCCCCTCACATACCTGTATGTCGCCAACATATCCCCTCTGAGTCTCCTCCTCTCCAGGCTGAAGAGACCCAGTTCCCTCAGTCTCGCCTCATACGGCATCCCCTGCAAACCGGCCACCAACCTTGTGGCCCTACACTGCACTGACTCCAACCTGGCTATATCCTTTCTGTAATGAGGGGCCCAAAACTGAACACAGTACTCCAGTTGCGGGTGCACCAGAGTCGTGTAGAGTGGTAATAATACCTCTGCAGTCAACCAGTACCCCGAGGTCCCTTTCACAAGTGCTGCTCTCCAGCCACTTGTCACCTAACCTGTACTTATGACACCTATTCCTATGCCCCAAGTGCAAGACCTTGCACTTATCCACATTGAACTCCATCCTGTTGTCTCCTGCCCACTTCCATAGTCTGCCCAGATCCTTTTGGATCTGGAGTACCTGCTCCTCAGTTGTGGCCACTGCTCCAGTTTTAGTGTGGTCTGCAAATTTGATCAGCAGACTGTTCACCCCTTCTTCCATGTCATTAATGAAAAGATTAAACAGGATTGGCCCTGGGGGACCCCGCTTGTTACTGGCTGCCATCCCGATGATTCCCCGCTAATGGTTACCTTCTGCTTTCGATCAGTCAACCATGCCCTAATCCACCGGACAGTGCTTTGGTGTATCCCAAAACCCCTCAGTTTCTCCACCAGGATATCATGGGGCACTTTGTCAAAGGCCTTGCTGATATCCAGGTATACCACATCCACTGCATCCCCTCCATCTAGCCATCGCGAAACCTTGTCATAGAATTCCACAAGGTTTGTCTGGCAGGACCTGTTTTTGCGGAAGCCGTGTTGTGTGGCTGTCAGCCTCCCTTCCCTATCTAGCATCACTAGATCTCTCTTTATTATGAGCCTTTCCATTGTTTTTCCTACAATGGATGTAAGGCTAACCTGTCTATAATTCCCCATGTCCTTTCTACTACCCTTTTTGAAAATTGGGACCACTAATGCCACCCTCCAGTCCTCTGGAACTTCACCCGTTCTCCACAAGGTCTCAAAAATGGAGGTCAGGAGACGTGAGAGAACCCCTGCCAACTCTCTAAGTACTCTCGGGTGTAACTCGTCAGAGCCTGGTGCCTTTGTAATGTCCAATGCCCTGAGGTGCCCCTCAACTTCAAGGGGGGTGATTCTAATCTGTGCCCCTAAGTCCCCAGCCTCATCTAATCTCCTATGCAGATATCCCCCGTCCTGCTTTGGGGAGAACACAGAGGCAAAATAGTCATGTGGCATCTGTGCCTGTTCCCTCATATCAGTCACTGGATCTCCTTCCTCCTTATTTAGTGGTCCCACCACTTGTCTCCCCTTCCTCTTCCTATTTACATGCTGAAAGAAGCCCTTTTTGTGGCTCTTGATATTCTTGGCAAGTCTCAGCTCGTAATCAGCCTTAGCCTTGCGAAGAATCCTCCTGCAATGGGCCTCCTCCTCCCAGTATACCCACTTGCCTATTTCCCCCAGTACCCATTTCCTATGGAGGTTCCTCTTTTGTCTAATCCCTTTAACCCCCTCCTTTTGCATCCATGGCGGCACTCTCCTCTGCCTCCCCACCTTACTGACTAGAGGTATCGTCAAGGTTTGCGCCTCCAAAACCTCCCTTTTGAGTGCTATCCACCCCTCCTCAACTCGCTTACCTTCCCGTAACCTATCCCAGGAGACTTTCCCCAGTCTGGCCTTCAGTTGGCCAAAGTTGGCCCTTGTGAAGTTCCAGCTTCTAGTGCTCGACCTGCTGCATGTCCCCATTCCCCTGATCTCAAAGCAAAGGATGGAGTGATCACTCGCATCCAGAGCTCCCCTAATCTGTACTTCATCTATCAGCTCCTCCCTATTGGTCAAGACCAAGTCAAGGATGTTTCTCCCCCTCATCACGTCTCGGACCCTCTGTGAGAAAAACCCTCCCTCTGTAGCTTCTAGGAAGCGATGTGACCTGGCTGTCACTGCCGAGTGAGTCTCCCAGGTAATATCCGGGAGATTGAAACCTCCCATAATTACTGTGTCTCTCCCCCGAGATATCCTTAGAATCTGTTCTGTCAGGACATCATCCAGGGTCTCAAGTTGACCAGGAGGGTGATAACACCCCCCCCCACACACACACACACTGTCAGGTCTCTTTCCCTGTCAAAACCCCTAAGTTTCACCCAGACTGCCTCTACCGGATCCCCATCTGTGCTGCATTCTGTCTCACTGCATCCTATCCCTTCCCTGATGTATAAAGTCATGCCCCCACCTCTCTTTCCCTTCCCGTCCTTTCTAAAAAGGTGATACCCTTCTATGTTCACATTCCAGACTCGCCTTTCATCCCACCAAGTTTCTGTGATTCCCACCAGATCATACCCTCTATTCCCAGGAGAGCTTCAAGCTCTTCCTGCTTATTACCCATGCTCCTAGCATTGGTGTACATGCACCTCAACTTCTTCCCACCACTTCCTTTCCTTGGAGTTCCCAGCCTCCTCCATCCTCCCTGATACCTGGCCCCTCTCTGTAGGAGTCCTGTCAGTCCCTGCGGTACCTCTAAAACCCTGCTCCCAGACCCCTGATCCTCTCCCCACACTTGTCCAGTGCAGACATGTTACTGGGGGGCCTGAACCCCCCCCCCGCCCCGTTTTAAATCTTCCCGGAGGAAGCTCGCTAGAGCATCTCCAAAGGACCTTTTCCCCATCCTCATGAGGTATAACCCGTCCCTTGCCAGAAGTCCATTGGCAAGAAACCGAGTGCCGTGGTCCAGGAACCCAAAGTGTTCCTTCTGGCCCCACACCCTAAGCCTGTCATTCACCTCGGAGGCCCTCCTGTCCCTTCCTGGCCCAAATCCCCGGACAGGTAAGATTGACACTTGGGCCTTCAGCTCCCTGAGTTTCTTGCCCAAGGCCTCGAAGTCCCTGGTGGGCCCAACCACACCCTCCCTGGCCACGGCTTTGGTGCCCACATGGATCACCAGGGCGGCTGGTGACCCCCGGAGCGAACAAGGCGCTCCACTCTGTCCTTCACATGCCGGATGCGTGCGCCCGGCAGGCAGCAAGCCTCCCTTGTCTCCAAGTTGGGGCGCCACACTGCCGCCTCAGTGCCCCTCAGCAGGGAGTCCCCAACAACAATCACCCGCTGCCGTGCCTTCCCGGTGCTGGTGGGCGGCCGTGCCCTGGCCCTCGCCTCTCCCGCAGCGGCCCCCTTGCTGCCTGACGTCCCAGGCTGGGGGTCCTGCTGATCCCCTGAGGCCCCATCAGCCCCAGCCTCCCCAGCATTTGGAGGGGCCCATGCTGGGGGAGGCTGCTCAAAATCAAGCACCTGTTTCTGCTTACTATAGGAAAGATAGAGTCATCCAAGTGACCCATATCCCTGCTGCAGCAACCTGTATTTTTAAGCCCTTAAAAAAATAAGGGGCTGTTCTAACAGGTTGAACCCAGTCTTTTTTAAAATAACTTTCACTAGTATAAAGTTGGCTTATTGCTGTACAAATCTGATTTAAGAAAGCATGTGTTGAATTTCTGTGTGTCATTTTCTGCTGGAAAAAGATGCCTGGGGGAACAAGCAAGACCACAGGGGAGCCTTCCTAATTGACCGCAGTCCGGAGTACTTCGAACCAATTTTGAATTACTTGCGTCACGGACAACTCATTGTGAATGATGGCATTAATTTGCTGGGTGAGTAAGGACAGTGTGGCAGCTGGATCAGCTGCATGTGGCATGCGAGGGGGTGTATCGGCCAGATGTTGCCAAACAAACGTAAAGAGGGTCATACTCATAGATGTGGCCTGTGTGGAACAAAGTATCTTGGGAATTCTGAATGCTGAGCCACGGTTTTGGTTTTCCTTTTCCCCCAGGGATAAAAATGCCCTGCAGACTTGAAAGCAGAACAACATGGGATGCAGGGGATCTGTGGCTGGATCACCTGGCATCTTTTCTCATACCAATATATTAAAAAGTAATGATAAATTTACATATAAAGAGGCTTTAGCAGGGAGACAATGGATGGGGTTAGGAGAATGACACTGGTGTGGAATTAAATCTCTTCCATTGCCCTGTTTTCCAACTCAGAAACATTCCCCAAAGCAATTTATATTGTTCTTTCTGTAGGCTGGGGGGAATCTGTCTGCCCCCTCACCACTGTTCAAGCTGCTGCTGGGCAGTGGGAGAAGGGAGATCCTTCCCCCAACTCAGATGGAAAAATGGGTTAGCTACCATGCCTGACCCAACAGAGCCATGAATCAGCCCACTGCCTTTGTGGTTGCTTTTCAAGAAGCCAGATTGTGTGCAATATGGCCCTTAATAAGAACCAAAGAAATGCAAACATTCAGTACGAAACTAGTGAATTCTATGCCCAAACTCCCCTTGAGTCCGGTGGAACTTATACTTGCTTGCAAATGGATTCTTTACAGTTCAGTTTATTAACAGTTGCAATGATTGCTTGGGACGTCCCTTCTAAGAGTCAGCCATACATAGTTGTAATTGGGGCCCTTTGCATCCTGTACTCCTAAATTTTGTTCAGCTCTCCACATTCCTCATAGAAAAGAACACTGCTTGCTTTGCAAGCACCCCCGTCCTAAATTGCAGAACCCGTGGGATGTCTTGGCCAGAAACTAAATCTCTTCTCCTCCTCTCCCAATTACATCTAATCTAAGCCACATCTGACCAACATTTTTACTCACCTGTGTCTCATAGCGGATTGTTTAAAAACTGTGAGAGCCATCTGTTCTTCTTTCCCAAGAGAAGAGGGAACATGGATGGGCATCAGAAGCAGAGGCGTCACATTTCTGGTGCTGTCGCAATGGGGCCAGTGTGCACCTATGCTGTAGCAGTTAGAAGAGGAGAGAGGAACCTCAGGCCAGAGGCTAAATGTGGCCTTCCCGGGATCTCCCAGGGGGCTTTCTTTTCCCTGTCCATTCTCTCCACCTTCAGCAACCATCGGTCATGTAGTGGTTTCCTGGCTTTTGTGCATTTCCCATTCTAAGAAAACAAATAAATCATAAATAATGAAATGCCTGTCCTAGGGTTTGATCACTGGAACTGAGAGGTGTTAGTTAAAATAAACGGCTATTTTGGCATTTTGGTCCTTCCTGTTGTGCCCCTGATCTCACCCAACAGTGGAATGTGTTTTCCAGGAAGTTTTCCAAAAGTTTTAACACCCCCAGGTCACGGCAACCCTTCCCAGCCTGGTACCCTCCAGATGTTTTAGACTGCAACTCCCAGCATTCATAGCTATTGGCTATTCTGGCTTAGGCTCATGAGAGCTGAAATTCAAACATCAGCATGGAACCATTTTGAGGAAGGCTCCATTAAGGTTGGACTTCAAGCTTGGAGAGATCCAAGGTCCAGTCTTGCTATGCCTTGAAACTGACCATTTGGAGGTCAAAGCGGGAAACAGGGTGGTGACGGCGATGGCAACTTACATTGGCACCAATCTAAAATAGCGTAGTATCTATCACTATTTGTCTGGGTCTTCTTCCCATAAATATTTTGATAGTTAAAACCACAGTTTTAGAACTGCTGTGATTCCTTTAGCTTGGTTATGCTATTGATTGCAGTCTTGGAAAGGTCTTCAGCAAATTCTGCTCAGCCAGGCACGGTTATGCTCAGTACTGTGACAGGCCCCTCGGGGTGTCTCTGTGGTCGAGGAAGGATCTGTCCCCTGGGAAGTGCTGATCTCGAACCCGCAGCCGTGGGCCGGAGAACCAGGCTCTCGGCATGGGTGAAGATGCGAGGAGTAGCCCATCCCGTTTCTCATGACCACAAAGGTGCATTTTTGTCCTCTGTTAAGTATCTCTGATCTTCTGCCAGGAGTCCTGGAGGAAGCCAGGTTCTTTGGAATCGACTCACTCATTGAACACCTTGAAGTAGCTATTAAGGTAACTAACACCTGTGCCAGTTCCATTTTCACCTTAAAAATTACACTAAACTTAGGTTTAAAATCTTTTATGTACTGTCATTTTTTTTTCCCTGAGGGGATTACCTCCTTTTCTAAAAACGCTTTTTCTACTCACCCAGCCCAAACATTGAAGTCGCATAATGAATTGACACATTAGCAATCAAAGTAGGCATGATCAAAATTATTTTTTTTCAGAAGGCTGTTCCTAAAATCATATTCCAGCTATGTGAGACTACAAATCCCAGCATGGCTGACTGAGGGATGCTGGGCTTTGTAATCCATGTGAAGGCACCAGCTTGAGAAAGTCAGAGGGAGAGGGAGATGCATGGATAATGGAATAACACATTTAAAGAAATGTGCATTTATGCCATTAATTTGAGAATAGCATTTTTAAACAACTTCCATTTTTCCCTCCCTCAGAATGTAACATGAGGGCAACTAAGTTGTCACTTCTTAAGATGTGTATATGTTTTCACACGGTGCCATAGTCCTGCCTTTTATTCTTCGGTGCTCGGGAATCTCCTTCAATCTGAGATAGTGTATAGGTGCTGGAAATAAGTATTGACAAGCCTTCCAATCACAATATCCCCCACTGGCTTCAGAATGTTCCACTACAAACATTTCTAGAAAACCTTCAGCAGCATCTTTCGCTACGGCTTATAAATCAGGATGGCAAACTTATATGCCCCCCAGACATTGTTGGACAACAGGTCCCATCATTGCTTACCACCGGCCTTGCTGGCTGAGAAGCGGATGGGACCAATACTTGAATGTTATCTGGAGGACCACAGGTTCCTTCCCAGGCTTCCATAAATCCTCTCTCCTTTGCCCCGCAGAACTCACAGCCTGCAGAAGATCATTCGCCGATCTCCCGGAAGGAATTCGTTAGGTTCCTGCTTGCAACTTCCACCAAGTCAGAGCTCCGTTGTCAGGTATTGTGAGAGGAAAGGCTGTGTGTGTGTGTGTAGCTTTTCTAGGTCTGTTCTGTAATAGCTCATGTCTAAGACACCAGAGTTCTAAAAGCTGGAGTGTGGCTCTTTTCTCTCACTGCACTCCCAGTTCCCAGATGCCTCAATCCATCCTCTTCTTCTAGCAAGAACCAGGCAGTGCAGACTACCCAGACTATTTTTGTATTATTCTTATTTTATTTCTAAAATGTGTAAGCCGTCCATTACTTCGGGATAGTCTCTGGACTATTTGGGCAATGAGAGGCAGCAGCGTCTCCGCTAGCCCAGTCTGCACAACGCCACAGGGGCTCGTGCAATTGTGGCCTGCCCCCGGCTCATGCTGGGAATTCAGTCGTCAGCCCATTTGCCACCCAGGCAAAGCTGTGGTGCCCCTGGTCCTGGACCGCATGGCTCGTTGCTCCCGCCAGGCAGCAGGCTAATGAGGGTTGCTGCACCCTCAGGAGAACCAGCTCAACTCCAACAGCTGGTTTAGCCTTTGAAGCCCTTTGAGCATCAGGCTCAGCTTATCTGAAAGATCTTCTCCTCCATTTCTTCATACCCGTACCTTGAGGTCATCCTTGAGTGCCACTAGCCAGTGAGAATTGGAACATGATAGCGCCCTGTTAATGGAGTAGCGTCTGCAGGAAAGATCATGTGATACTTGCCTTGCATTCATTGGGACGCCAGGCAAAGACTCCCAGGATTAATGGGTGGGCTTTCAGAAAATAGGGTCTCTGGGAAAGTGTTGCAGGGACCATAGGAGTGTTCAGAAAAACCCTTGATAGCAGGAGTCCAAGATCCATCAGACTGACCTCTCACAGCTAGCAAAGAAAGACCCATGCTGTGTATTCTCATTTCTGACCCACGCTGTCAGAAATGCAAAATTGGAGGAACAGCAAATGGGGCATTCCAGAGACAGGATGCGATTTATCCTTCCCTTCCCATCCAAATGCCCTTGCTATAGACGGGCTGAAAAGTCCACCCAGTGAAACTCACCTGAGTATGGGGAGGGGAAGGCCGCCTCCACCACTTCAGCCTGGCAGGTTGAGAAAATACAGGAGGGCTTCAGGTTTCATATTCTGCCGCCATATTCTGCAGAACAGTGTATGCTGTTTCATAGACCTGGTCTGCGCTTGTATCAGGACAAGGCTGTAAAATTGTCAAATGGTAAACTGTATCATGCCATTTCTAATGGCAAGAAGTGGGTCACACTTTTGAATACTCTCTGAAAATAGAAAGCTAACACAAAAGCGAATAGGCCATTCTGGAAGATGTGTTCCTCCACTGCAGGAAGTGCTCCTTCAGATAGTTCAGATGCTCAGCTTAATTTCACACTTGATCACTGTCACTTATTCATAGTACCACTGAATGAGGAGCAACTGCTGCTGCTCCACTGGGGAGTCCTCATGAATCCAAACGTATTTTGATGACAGACAGACTACTTTAGTTGGTTTTAAGCTAGTTGGATTTCTTGGCCTCGGCCCCCCATCTGCTACAGGGGGATAACGTCGCGCTTCCTAACGATTACTGGGCTCCTGTGAGTAGAAGACTTTGGATGCTTCAGAGTGGCTTATGGCTTGCAGAGAGCATGACCAGATAGTTGTTCTCACCTCCTACAGGGTTTAAATTTCAGTGGGGCAGATCTCTCTCGCTTAGATCTACGTTACATCAACTTCAAGATGGCCAACTTAAGCCGATGCAACCTGGCCCATGCCAACCTGTGCTGTGCAAACCTTGAGCGAGCGGACCTCTCGGGATCGGTACTGGATGTGAGTGTGGGCTGGGCTGGGGGTGGGGGGGTACGTCTTTCTCTTTAGAACTAACATGCATTTCGCTTTTTTGGATTTAATGCAACAAAGTTACCTGACTACTCCAAGTAAGATTTGTTCACTCATCCTTATTCCTAACTGATGTTCCACTGTGAGTTAACTGCTGACTAGAGCAAGAAAAGATGTGAAGCCGGTTGGGGTGGCTGCACTGCAGATGACCCTGTTTGCATGTAACAGAGCAGCGGGTTTGGCCTCTGGCACCTCCTGGTCGGGGAGTTGCCATCATTCAGCGAAGACCAGGGGTCTGCGCTCTCTGCCACCTGCATGTCCCATGGAGGCCCCCTGTGGCCTGCAAGCCTGGGGGATCCTAACTGAACCATGCACCGGGACAGCCGTCCTCACCAGGGTCATGCGTGGGAGGGAAGAGGTCCGAGCATCCCCCTTCCTCCAGACTTCAGGAAGAAGATCTTGTTCTTCTCACATGGGTGGTCTCCGCTCTCCCTCTGGCACGGCCCCTGGCACTCAGGAATGTCTCCCATGCAGTGTAACCTGTAGTGAAATGCAGAGGAGGTGAAGAAGATGGCCCAGGAGTGTCTTCCTGTGTTCCTGCTTTCAGGCAATAGGACAGGGTGTGAGCACAGCCAAGCCATCACTCAAATGGCATTACAGATTCCCCCGATCAATAGGATACATTGAGAACTAATGGCTCTGGGGCAGAGGAATGTGTGTGAAGCCTTTAGAAGGCCTTTCTAGCTAACAGCAGTTCAGCGATAGCACAAAGAAGACTGTGGGGAACCCTCATGAGTTTTCCAGGAAAGGTTGAAAAATCTCCCCAACCTCGGGGAGTCACTTCTGGACCAGGTGATGATGTTTCCGATCTAAACACGATCCTGTCTACCTCTCTTTGGCAGTGTGCCAACCTCCAAGGCGTCAAGATGCTTTGTTCTAATGCTGAGGGCGCATCGTTGAAAGGATGCAATTTTGAAGACCCCTCTGGCCTTAAAGCTAACCTGGAAGGTAAATAAAAATATATGCAGCCCAGGTGCTCTCTTTTGTAGGGTGTGCATGCTGCACGGACACGGAAGCTGCAACCAGAGGGTGACTAACTGCAAAATGGAGTCGGGGGGTCTCGATTACCCCAACGGCAGGTTGTTTCTTGACCGGGCGGCAAAGCACCCGCCTTGCATACAGTAGGCCCCAGGCTCTCTCCCTGGCAATCTGGAGCTTAAGCAGTGGGGGAAACCTGTGCTGGAAAGTGTTGTTTAGGGAAAGGGGGAACTTCAGCCCAAGACATCTGGCGCGTGCTGGGTTCAGGGAGACTGGCTGACACAATCCCTGCTGTGTGCATTCCTGGCTTTCATATTCCCACAATTGCTCCTGTGGTTTGATATCCTGGATTTATGAATGGACTGCAGTTAGAAGAACCCACACTTCCCCAAGTTGGCAGTGGGTGGGTGAGAGAGGGAAAGCACAAAGTATATCACACTTAGTTGTGGACTTACAGCACAATCCTATACCACTTTGGACATGGACACACACACAAAAAGGCTCCAACCACACTCTTAACATTGTACTTCTTACTCCAGGTGCCAACTTGAAAGGTGTCGATATGGAGGGGAGTCAGATGACTGGAATTAACCTGAGAGTCGCAACCTTGAAAAATGCAAAGTTAAAAAACTGCAACCTGAGAGGAGCGACGCTGGCAGGGACAGATTTAGAGGTGAGTCATGTTTTCAGCTTTGGAGCAGGCAGCTGGGACAACAAATGGCAATTTGTCAGGCTTGTGCATGTTTTCACAAATTCTGCTTTAAAGGGTTTAATGGCCATTAGTGCTACTGTGTACATTTTCAGTCGCCTGCCCTTTGAATTGTTATTGTATGGCTTAACTGAAAGAGTTTTAGAACGCAAGATGAAAAAGTGTAGGTTTTAATGAAGGATTTAAAGGAGATGGGGAAAGATGCCATCCAGATGCAATCCAGCAGTTCCGGGTGTCTGAGGCAGCAAGGAAATATGGGTGAATGTCAGGTGAGATTTCTAGGATGTTGAAGGTGGTGGAAAAGCAAAGGTCTTGGGTGCTAGACAAAACAACGTGGGCAAAGTTGGCCCAAGTTCAGAGGGGACTTTGAAAGTCAAAATGAGTGTTTTTTTGTGAAAGTGGAAGTAGACAAGCTGTGCTGGCCCGGCCCATAGTCATATGTCATGGCAGCCTGGAGGATGCCGGGAATTGTAGTCTAACACATATAGGAGGTGCCAGTTGGAAAAAGGTGGCACCTATTTTTGTTTGTAGCACAAAAACACTCAGAGGAAGAGTGGTGTGTAAGTCCTATGTATGAGAGAGAGAGAGAGAGAGAGAGAGAGAGAGAGAGCGAGAGAGCGAGAGAGCGAGAGAGCGAGAGCGAGAGCGAGAGCGAGAGCGAGAGAGAGAGAGAGAGAGAGAGAGAGAGAGAGAGAATGTGTCACCTTCAGCTACCTCTTTTTGTGCCCTCCAGAACTGCGACTTGTCGGGATGTGATCTACAGGAAGCCAACCTGAGAGGGTCGAATGTGAAAGGGGCCATCTTCGAAGAGATGCTGACTCCACTGCATATGTCTCAGAGTGTCAGATAGATTGCCCACAGGGACCTTGCTGCAGTCTGTGTTCCCTCCTTAACGCAGGAGATGTCTCTGCGGTGTTGAAGGAACTGTCTCTGGCCAGACAGCCACGGAATCACTTTCCTTTCGTAGGCGCGGAATAGATACGGAACTGAATCCGGAAGGCTAGCAGGCTTTAGAACCCAGAGATGCTGTCCTCGCCGAGGGTTTCGGCCCTTCTGGGTCATCTCACTCCAATACACCTCTTAAGATATATCGATTTATTTATAAAAGCACAATATATGCAATTTATATTTATTATATACTTCTAGTCACTGTATGGATTTCTTTCACATGCTGAATTCATACCCAGCAGCAAAGCCTCTGGTTTGGGAGTGGGGTTGTTGTATCGCTGGCTTCATAGCATATTAAACTGGGGGGAGGAAGGGATGGGATGGGATGGGATGGGTCTAGTTTCAAACCTCACTTTGGCTGCTCAAGAGACACTGCAGGGAAGGTGTCCTCCAGTGATTCTGCGTTCAGTTATTCAGAGGTGTAAGCTAAGTGAAAAGTGAACCTGTGCGGGGCTGAACTTACTCTTCAATTTAGCATGTTGGCAGCAAAGACAACCACCTTTCAGCAGGATTTGTGCTTGGTTCAGCACCTTTGGATCCTACCAAGGGCCTTGAGCCAGTGGTGGATGGGGCTGAAGCTGGTCACAGTCAGGACTGGGGCCCCTAGTGGGGGAGTCATCCCCTTTCTTTTTCATCCCTCCCTCCTCCACCTGCCTGTTCCACCTTTTCACATCTCACCTAGCCGTCTGCCAGGGAAAGGGACAAATCCATCTCACGGAGCTTGCTTCATGCTTTTAAAATTAGGCAAAGGGGCATGGGTCCACATTCACTCTCCCTGTTTTGTTAGCCCGTTTTTCTTTGGTAATCCCAGTTCAATCCAGTAATGGGAAACAGTGGTTAAATCTTCTGTTCTTAAACTCAGTACTGCTTGTTATAGCAGCTCTCCAACCCTGGTGACCGCCAAGTCCCAGCATGCCCCAGACACCCATAGCAAGAGGGATAATTCAACCCCCTTGTAAAATTCCAGGTTCCAGATGGCTGCACTACAGGATATTTTGGCACCTCTCCATTTCTAATAAATATGCATTTGTTTTGCACTTTAGGGAATAAATGCACCTGCCCATGGCCTTGTGCCCACTGCAGCATGCCAGATGCCCACATCTGGGAGACGTGTGGGTCGGCCCTGGAAGTTGTAACTGCCTTGTACTGTTTCAGAGCTTTCATCACTGTGCAGTTGCCGGTTGCGGTACTGACTGGCCTCTCTGAACTCCTGCCTTCCTGTCCAAAAGTTGAATCTGATGCTGTTTTGGGAAGCATAGCTTCTAAAGTTCTGATCCACTAGTTCTGCTAGGCAGAGACCAGAGGGAACCCTGGTGGCCCAGGCTGCAGGACCTGTTGGCCAAAAATGCCAGGAAGCAGGGGTCCAAGAGTCAAGACCATGGAAAGCATTCCCTAGAAAAGTATATAGAAAAATGCTATAATGAAAAGGGAGGCGAAAAATGGCTAGTTACAGCAAGCAGAACCTGATGCCTTCCAGATGTTTTGGATTTCAACTTTGCATCCGCCTTGCTCAGTGGTAAGGAGTGCCACGAAAAGCACCTGGAGGACACCTGACTGGGAGAAGCAGACATGAAATTTGCACAGGCAGTTGTCCAGCCTTGAAATCAGGACGGTGAACCCATGGCCCATAGGGTGCCCTATGCTGGATTTCCCCTTCTGCTTCCCAGTGGAGGCTGTTAAAAGCTACGTGACAGCGAGGGGAGGGAAAGGGCTGTGACCCTTGCCTCGCTCAAAATCCACCCCGCCACACTACAATCAACAGTAGGTATCAGAGAGGGCTGTGTGTAAGTGTGCTTTTGTGTGTAACGGGACAGCGTAGGAGTGATCCTATAGGGGCCACTTGCCTGCAGGGAGGTGCCCATGCCTGCCACTGAGATGTGTCCCCAACAGACTTGCCCAGAATCAGTTTGGTCCTCAAGCTAAAAATAGTTTCCCATCCCCGTTCTGGAAGAAGAAAAAGGTGAGTTATAAAAGGGACGAAATAGTGGGCTTTTCTTTCAGAGTGAGCCTGGTTTGAGCAGCCTCGGGGACAGAGGTTCTCAGCTCTGACATCCTTTCTTCCTCCTCCTCTTCCTGTGCAAAGAAGGTACTTTTGGGGAGAACCAATGAGCACCATTTGTCCCACAGACATCCAAGACATTGTGCTTCCAAGACATTGTCCTCTAATGCCCACGCAAAAACTGTGCCAATGCATTTTTGTACCTGCCGTCCAAACAAGCGTCTGTCGAGAGCTCCCACACCAAATAAAACTGGGTGTCAGCAAAAGTGACAAGCCTTGTGCTGAAGTCAGTGTCCTGGCAGGAATTTGGCACCTCTATCAACTGCAGTGACTTATAAATTCAGGTAAGATTCACTCCAACCCACCTGTTCCTTCCTTGAAAAACCCAGAACAAACAGGATTTAGCCTCCATCAAAACAAATTAAGGGTAAGCTGAACTGGACTGCAGATTTCTTGAGTTTACCACTAGGAGGATGAAATCCAGAACCAGTTACAGTTTGGCTAACTCTGGACTGGTGGTCTCCTGACTCGGTCACAGGATCTCACGGTTCCATTCCTACAGAACCAGAGGAAATGAGTGGCCAAAGGAAAACTACACCTTCCCTCTATTCTGCTCCTAGCCAGAGTGCTGCAAACATAAGAGACCAACAGTAGTCCCAGTCTCTCTCTCCTGGCTCCTCAGACTTTGGTTCTTGGAGATCCTAGGCTTCACATAGGAAGGTCCATGGGTTCTGTTCCAGAAGCTGGACTTCCTGCTTCAAGGTCCAGTTCTATACCCAGAGATGCAATCGCTCCTGCTAGTCTGGCTACTAAAAAGGCAGTCTTCACCAACATGCACTATCCAGATTCATTCATAGGCACTCTACAACATGGAAAGTATTTTCCAGGTCGAACAGGTGAAGGAAAGTAACCAAACGGCCAGCATAAGGGATTCTTGGCTTTTCTACAAGGAGGACTTAAACCAGGCCCATTATAGGGACAAACACCAGTCATACCCTGGGTCCACTCCGAAGCAGGACAGCAGCTGCTCAGCTCACATTCTTCCTTAAGGGGATTTCTCTAGAAAGCATCATTCCTCTAATGAAACTTAGTGTCCTCTCACACCAAACACCCCTCTGAACCACTTACAATGATAGGAAGGTCTCCAGATGGTGAGAAAGACCATCTGAGCTTTAGGTTCTCTAGGTTAGAAAAGGTGAATCGCCTTTAAGATGGGCACAGTCATTCTCGGGACAATTCCACATTCCTTGAGAAGAACACAAAAGAGCCCTGCTGGAGCAAACCGACGGTCCATCCAGTTCGGCACTCCATTCGCGTGGTGGCACAGCACTGCTGATGGGATTCCTCGAGCAGGGTGGGTGCAAGTCTAGCTCCTGCGCCATCTCCTCAGCAAGTGGCACATGCTGCCTCTGATGACAAAGGTGGAATCCAGCCAGCAAGGCTAGTAGCCACTGACAGCCATCACATCCTCCATGAATCCGTCCAATTCCTTTTTAAACCATCCAAATGGGTGGCCATCGCCAGTTCCTCCGGCAGTGAATTCCAGAGGAATTCTTCAGATTTTGTGAAGAAGTACTTCTATTTATCTGTCCTAAACCTTCCCTATCTAAAGGAGTTTTCACATGTTGGAAGAGCCAATTCTGCTCTTCCTAATCCTAATCCTTTTCATCTCTGGGAAAAGGGCTTGCACAAGCTTGCAGACTAGTCAAAATCCAGCTAAATGCACACCATCTTTCAGAGAATTGATTTTATTGTTTCTACCTTTCCATCCTACAGCCATGGATAAGATAGTGTGAAGTTAATCTTGGCAAGAAGCTAAAAGCATGTAATTTCTCAGTGTATATGAACCTTCTAAGGTGGGAAGAAAGGGCAAAACAATTACAGCAGACTGGGCTCAAGAGAAGCTTATTGTTATGGCTCTAATACTCACTACAAACAATACCCATGGACAATAGAATACTGACAAGTTTAGTCACACTGCCTGCTTTTCCTGGGTAATAGTGAGAGAAAACTCATTGGGCGATGCCTTCCACACACCAACCCAGAAGGAATAAGAAGTCAGTATCATCAGAGGGCCTTGCACATTCAGTTTAGGAAGTTTGCTTCTCTTCCTTTATGCAGTTGGATTAGCAATTTCCTAATTCTGGACATTGATAAAGAAGCCGGTGTAATGCATGGAAAATAGATTTTGCTTGCGATATAGCCAAGGTGAGGAATGCACCGCCCTCCAGATGTTGAGAAACCGCAGTGCTGATCATCCTTGGCAAAAACTATGCTAGCTGGGGCTGATGGAAGTTGCGGTTCAGTAGCACACGGAGGGCCACACATCCCCAGACCTAGTCTACTGGATCGCAGAAAAGATGTTAAGGGCATAGGGAACTTTGCACTGGTTCCAGACCTAGTCATATGTAGAGCAGTCCCATTGAGAGAAGTGGACCTCGAATTAGTTGCAGGTCCCAGCTCCATATATTTGGATCCCAAACCAAGGACATTAGATAAGACTACACAGATAGAGTAGACCATGGAATGCACTCCCTAGAGAGGTCCGCCTGGCACCGTCATTATACGCTTTTTGGCACTAGAACTTTTTATTTGACCAATATTTTAAAATTAATCAATTTTAATTGCACATTTATTTAACTTATTTCAACTATGTCATTTTTATATTCAGTTGTGGTATAGCTAATTTGTTTTGTTTAGGACTGATACTATATTGTAAGCCGTCCAGAGATAACAGTGATGGACAGCCTATAAATGTCATAAATAAATAGATAGAGGAAAGAAACTAGGCACAGCTTGTCCTAGCAGGACTACAGAAAACCACCCAGCTACTCAGCCAGCATCTCACTGTGCACTGAGATACTGACAGCAGGATTTTAGATTATCTCAGCGGGCTAAAAACACCCACCCACTTCCCCCATTTTCAAAACAAGCTTGATTTCTCCTCCTCAGCAGGAGTCCCACATTAGTCCTGGTGTTACACAAACCAAAACTATTAACCTTTACCTAAATTGCTGTAATCCTCCTCAAATATGTGATGCTTTAGCAAATCATTTTAATCCACTAATATGTGGGCAGATAGCAGGTGAGGAAATAAGACTTGATAAGTGCATAAATGGAGAGATGTAATAGTCCCTGGTGTCTTGTGTGTAATACCCTGGGCTCATCTTCCCCACTCACATCTGATGAG